TGCGGAAATTATGGGCATTCTGTCAAAGACTTCTGGTGAAGTAGAAAAGCACATGAATCTTACTGCTCAATCACCCACTTCCCACACGCAACAATAGCTCATGGGTACCACAGATAACTTTGCCAAAGTTCTCTGCCAAAGTTGAGCACGTGAAGCTTGCAGCTCCTACTACATCGCTCTAACCAAGAAGGGTAAAAAATAGCAAAGAAACAGTACTAACAAAGTTTAGACACATAAATTTTGAAGGTCTAGCTACCATATTATTACCCACAAGGGTAAAGGAACAGTACCACTGCTGGATAATTGGAAAAGTCCCTGTGTGTCAACCTCTGTGCTTCGTAGCAAGGTAGACTAGCAAACATGCCCAACCTTTACTCACATTCGAGAAAACTCCTAACAAGATTGCTTGCTCCAAAATCGAAGAGGCATCGTCCTCTGAATCTCGAGAGCCAGACTCCCAACATGACTACTTTCTCAAAAATCGAAGAGAGGGTAAAGGAACAGTACCATTGCTGGATAATTGGAAAGTCCCTGTGTGTCAACCTCTGTGCTTCGTGGCAAGGTAGACTAGCAAACATGCCCAACCTTTACTCACATTCGAGAAAACACTCCCAACAAGATTGCTTGCTCCAAAATCGAAGAGGCACCGCCCTCCGAATCTCGAGAGCCAGACTCCCAACATGATTACTTTCTCAAAATTCGAAGAGACACCGCTCTCCGAATCTCGAGAGCTAGACCCCCAGCATGATTGCTTTCTCAAAAATCGAAGAGGCATCATTCTCCGAATCTCGAGAGCCAGATCCTCGATAGGATTGCTTGTTCGAAAACCGAAGAGGCACCACTTTCCCAACTTCAAGAGCCGGATCTCCTTGGATAAAGCTTGTCTGTAATCCTCACACGCAACATCAGCTTTCCAGATACCACATACCACTTTTTCAAAGTGCTCTGACAGAGTTAAAACATGTGAAGCTGGCAGCTCCCACTACCGTGCTATGACCAAGCAGGGTAAAGGAATAGCATTACTACTTGCTGTTAGGGAGACTCCTATATATGTCGACCTCCATCCCCAACGGACAGACAGACCTGCAAAAATGCTCAACCCTTCCTCATATCTGAGAGGGCACTCCCAACAAAGCCTTTCGAAATACTCAGCTTTCTTCCCCCCTGATAATACCTCTGTAAACAAGCTATACTAGAGCAAGAATATCCCATATCATCAGGGTTAAAAGCAAGAGTATCCCATATCATGCTTTTTCCCTGTCTTTTCCTTTGGCCTTGTTCTTACCTGCAAGACAAGGAGAAAGAGAGCAATCAGTCAGCACTTGGAATCAAGCTTCTAGCCAGGAACTGACTGCCTGGAACCCCTTACCTGATTTACTTACCTGGTATTGCTCTCGAGTACTCATCTTCAACATCTTATGCTCCCAGGGAAGATACCGCATCTGCCTGAGGAACAAATAGGGCAAGTGAGAATGATACAAGGAAGCATGTGGAGACAAACATAACAGCACACGTGCCGATACATCCATTACTCTGTCAAAAGCAAAAGTATCCCATATCAGCAGGGTCGAAACATACTCTAGATTTGATGGACTTGTTTTGACCCTCAAAATTCTTCAGTCGGCCTTATACTCTGGAGGAAACCAGAAAACCCTCCAGCTCAGTTCAAGAATAAAGCCTGTGGAAAGTTACTTCTTCAAAAGCAAAAGTATCCCATATCATCTCTTCTCATTTTTTCTTCTCTTTATCCTTCATGCTGCCTGCAAGATAAGGAGAATGTGAACAATCAGCCGGAGCTCTGATTGCTTACCTTGTCTGTCACCTCTTTTCAGCAGATCCCCTAGCTCGGCGACTTGGGGACTCCTACTACATGGTTTGTATCGCGCTTGACCAAGCCTGAAACTACAAGTAAGCTTCAAGTGAAATTGATACATTACCTTGTGCATCTCCACCAGTTAAAGATACCACCCCTGGATGGAGGAAGAGTACTTCCAGAGAAGATGTCACATCTACCTATGAGACAGATAAGGCAAGTCAAGACGATACCACACTCCGATACTTAGAAGTTTCGTGATTACGAGATCATTCTCCCACAATATTTCCTAATGTCATTTGTACTAGATCATTCACTTGTACTCACTAAAGGAGAGCTTGAACCTATGTACTTGTGTAAACCCTTCACAATTAATGAGAACTCCTCTATTCCGTGAACGTAGCCAATCTGGGTGAAGGGACTCTAAGAAAAGACTTAGAGTACTTGGATCTAACGGAGGACATGACACAAAACCGAGCGCAATGGCGTTCTAGGATTCATATAGCCGACCCCACTTAGTGGGAAAAGGCTTTGTTGTTGTTGTTGTTGTTGTTGTTGTAGTGGTAGATCATGGATTCAACACCTGGTTAGAAGTTCATTAGTTCTCTCGGTCTCCTACTGTTTTATTGGGGTGTCTAGAGTTGATTGTCATCGGCACATTTTGGTTTGTATTACGTTCTCGTCTTTGATTGGTCATGCATATCTTTGTGTTAGGTTGGAGACTTTGAAATGCATTTGAAGCGGAACATTGGAGGCACCAGCGCCCCAGTGCCTAGCATCTCGCCAGCAACACCACCACCTATTCCATCTGCACCTATGGATTCAACTCCTGCTCCCCCTCCAGCATCACCACCAAAATCTTCTGAAAAAACCACTCCATTTACAAACGTATCTGCAGACAAGTCATCAAGATTAGCAGCCTTGGAGGCTTCTGGTGCTAATGGATATGGTCTGGTTTCTTCTCCAACGGTATGTTCCTATGTTCGAGAAACAATTTGGTTCTTTAACTTCTTTTACTCTGTCCAGAACAATAACTACGATATATCATCTAGGGTTCACTTTCATCTTTTGTTTCTTGTTGGTTCCAGGTTGGTTCATTCCGCAGGGGAAGAACAGTGAAAGGAAAGAAGCAACCTCCTATCTGTAAAGAGGTATCACTTGCATACCTATGTTTGGTTCTACATTATATATATATATTTTCTGTAATTTTAATAGGAAATTCACCTAATATGTCATTCATGCATTATCTATAAAAAGATTTCTACATACAATATAATACTCCAAGAGGATTCTTTAAACTCGTCATTTAGTTGGGTAAATCAAGAACTCAACTGATTAGTAAGTATGCATATCTATCAAGAAGATTGCGTTTTTGGTAATAAGATTCAAGTGTAAATAAGTCCCATTTTACGGACTACCGATTCTGTGGGTGCTTTTATTGCAACTGCTATTAGGATTCTCATAACAGTGTCTCGGAATCTTGATTTCTTATCCAAATACTGAAGGTAGGGTCACATTTGGTATAACAAACTTGGCAACATAACATCAATCTCGCTTCTCTTGATTCCGAACTTTACAGGGTGATTTGATCAAACAAGGACAGGTAATCGGATATGTGGATCAGTTTGGCACCGAACTTCCTGTGAAGGTGCGTTTTCCATTTCAGTTCCCTTAATACCAAGTGTTTCATGATAGACATATCACTCATGACGGATTCTTGATGTGTTGAGCAGACTGATTTGGGTGGAGAAGTTTTGAAGCTCCTCTTCAACGACGGAGGTATAGTTACTATTATCATTTTTCAATCCAGTAGTTTAATGTCATCAAATTTGTCATATACAAGGTCGTATATTGTGAACTTAATCTGTAAGGCTACGATGGCTCTCTTATTCGTTTATTTGGATTGATAATGATTTGCAGAAGCCGTTGGTTTCGGAGACCCCCTTATCGCTGTCTTGCCCTCATTTCCCGGTATCCAGTGAGCTCTCTCTCTCTCTCTCCCCCCACCACCCCCCCCCCCTGTAATCGCTGTTGAAGAGCTCCGAAGCTTGCAGTTTTCCAGAGTCATTCTTTCCGTCGTCTATTTTACCTTGCTGCATTAGAGGACAAGCGTATTTTACGATTTGTACTTTGATATTCTGGTCAGTAAAATTGACTGTTGTTGTCCTGTAGGTCAAGCAATAACTCGATTGAGCTTGTATAATCGTTGTGTTAGACATACTGTTTTGTTTGTTTTGAGTGGTTACATGGTAGATTTGTTTGCTAATGGAGGAAAACTTTACTACTAAACGCAGCTTTGTTAGGCAAACATCTTTCACAAAAATCCCTGCGTGTCAAAAATTCTTGTATCGAGAGAGCATATCTGCTATAGCCAACGAGACCGTTGATGCCTCCTGCTCGGCGTTCTAATTAAGAATCAGGAAGAAAACGAAAAAAAAAAAGACAAAGGAAATGCTAACAAAATGTTCTATAAAGCATTAGGCTAGGCGGGCGGCAGGTAGGGGCCTAAAGCCAAAGCAAGGGTCTAGGTGGTTTTTTCAATTTTAATATAATTATTATATACCATATAAATAAATATCCGCTCATACTTGAAAAAAAAAAAGTACATAATTGTACTAGGGTAGCAAAATGTAGTGACATAAATGATAAAGTATTACAACACGAAAACATAGAGAACACGTATGCATATAATGAGTGTTCAGTCAAGCATTCAACATTCAACAGTCTATTATAATTTATTGAAAAATAAAATGTAGTTATATATTTTTTATTTAAGTGATATTCGTGGCCCAGATAGACTAGACAGGCACCTAGACAAATCTAGACGCAATTTCTTAATTTTAAACGCTTAAGAATTAATCGATGTAGTGGCACCCTAAACGAAAATTTTTAGAACAATGATTTAGATTAACAAAAATGATTTAATAGGAGGATTGTATTTGGATAAAATTGACATAACAAAATGTTCAAATTGGCACCACTCAAAACTTGTGTACCTGGCAGATAAGAATGAGACGGTCAATACAATTTGGATAAAATTGAAAGAAAAAAAATTTTAAGGAGGAGGGGAGGCCACCGAAATCCTCTTGAGACCACATTGATAAATATTTAATTTTTACGATCCAAAAAAAGTATTTTCCAAACATTTTCGAATTTATGTGACAAATAAAAACTCTACTATCGAAGGCGCGCTAAAAAATTAACGAATAACGAACAGAAAAAGCCCTTATTTTTTCTTAATATCGGAAAATTCTCTCTCTCTCTCTCTCTCGCGGAGAGATGTGTGACTGAGCAGTTGAGCATTTGCGCTCGCGGCGAAAACAAAAATGAAGCCCCACACGAACAGAGGATTCGCCACGACTGGCCCGCTTCACGTAACATCTCCTCCACGAGCCTCGCCGGAGCTCTCTCTTAGCCGGCGATTACCGGCCACAGCACACGTTCCCCGGCGAGTTTCATACGGTAAACGCCGCCGCACCAGCATCTCCGCAGTTCTCCGCCGAAACCAGCCCGAAATTTCGGATCAGGAGACCGGTAGCTCAGTAGAAAATGCTGATTATTCCGACGGAGCTCGACGGGGCCCGCTCCATACGAGGCGGCACGCGCTGCTCGCGCCGACGCTGGCGCTGGGCGCGTGGTTTCTGAAATCGACGATAGCGAGCGCCGAGGACGCGCCGTCTACATCGCCGCCGCCATCACCGTCGCAGACAGTACCGGTGCCGAGAGAGGAGAAGGAGGAGGAGGATGCGATAACGTCGAGAATATACGACGCGTCGGTGATCGGAGAGCCAATGGCGATGGGGAAGGACAAGGGCAAGGTATGGGAGAAAGTGATGAATGCTCGGATTGTGTATTTAGGCGAAGCCGAACAGGTTCCGATTCACGACGACAAAGAATTGGAGCTCGAGATTGTGAAGAATTTGGGGAAAAAGTGTTTGGAGAGTGAGCGAGCATTATCTTTGGCTCTTGAAGCATTTCCTTGTAATCTCCAGGACCAGCTCAATCAGTACATGGACAAAAGGTTAGGAAGTACTTCTGTTCATAAGCACTTTTGCAAGAAGTGTTTTTATTAAATGCGTACTGAAATTTCATATCTAATGCGTACTGAAATTTCATATCTAAGTGCCTGAGGAGTAAGGAGGTGCTTCTCCATAAAGCACTTTCATGATGCAGAAGCATTTTAAATTTTTTTTCTAAATGCTGCCAGAAGCGCTTTTGGTTGTTGGAAAGCGAGTTACAACTCAAACTGGCATGTATATTTCCGTATTGCATATATTGATGTCTGTGTATATATGATGGCACAGCATAGATGGAGAAGCTTTGAAGTCCTACACATCACATTGGCCACCTCAACGCTGGCAGGAGTATGAGCCTCTCCTGAGTTACTGTCGGGATAACGGAATTCGGCTAGTGGCTTGTGGAACTCCACTCAAGGTACTCTTAAACTTTGTATCAATGTGTGATGGTATATAGCTTATAATCCAAATTTGAAAAATTGGGTAACATTAGAAATGTGAGTATTTAAGATTGTATTGTAAGATTGTTTGATGCTGCCTTGTAAATTTAGAGTGTGTTGTAGGTTAATGAGTGAATAATTTGTAGGTTTTAAGGACTGTCCAAGCAGAGGGAATTAGTCGGCTTTCAGAGGCTGATCGAAAAACATATGCTCCTCCAGCGGGTTCGGGCTTCATATCAGGCTTCACTTCTATCACACGCAGACCACCAGTTGATTCAAATTCCCGGAGTCAATCTGTTCCTTTTGGGCCAAGCTCATATCTTTCTGCGCAAGCAAGAGTGGTTGAGGATTATACTATGTCCCAGATTATTTTAAAGGCCATGGCGGATGGAGGAGCAAGTGGTATGCTAGTGGTGGTGACAGGTGCAAGCCATGTTAAATATGGGATTAGAGGGACTGGGCTGCCGGCCAGAATTTCAAAGAAGTTGCAAAAGAAAAACCAAGTAGTTATATTACTTGATCCTGAAAGACAGCACATACGACGAGAGGGAGAAGTTCCTGTTGCTGATTTCCTGTGGTATTCTGCTGCCAGAACCTGCAGCAGGAATTGTTTTGATCGCGCTGAAATTGCTCGAGTTATGAATGCAGCAGGCAGGAGGCGAGAAGCCCTTCCACAGGTCAGTAGGATTCTTTGCCAATTTTTAACTTCCAAGAAAAAAGAAGGATCATTCTAATCAACATCAGTTGCTTATTTAACTAAAACTTCACCTTTTTCAAGACTTTATAAATGACATTTGGGTAACTGGGGTGAGGTGTCTTATGCAGTGGCTTTGCACATTACATCTGCTTTTCGAAAAAAATCAACTGACTTTAATGGTGTTGCTTTCATTCTCTCGAGAACACTAAACTGTGGCATGCTTTTCAGGACCTTCAGAAAGGACTGGATCTTGGTTTGGTATCCCCAAAGGTATTACAGAACTTCTTTGATCTGGAGCAGTATCCTCTTCTTGCAGAACTTGCTCAACGTTTCCAGGTGTGCGAATTTGAAACTTTTGATCTTTAGATAGTTTGTCATATTTATATCAGATCGAAAGGTGAAAAACAATTGATGACAGTGAAGCAAATTCTGAAGAGCACACAAGTTTACTATTGCTCATCTTTGTGCAGGGTTTCAGGGAAAGATTGTTGGCAGATCCTAAATTCTTGAATAGATTAGCTATAGAAGAAGCTATATCATTAACTACTACTCTTAGCACAGTATGAGAAGCGCAGAGAAAATTTCTTTGAAGAGCTGGACTATGTTTTTACAGATACTCTAAGGGGATCAGTGGTTGATTTCTTTACAGTGTGGCTTCCCGCCCCAACATTGTCATTCCTTTCATATGCTGATGAGATGAACGCGCCTGATAGCATGGATGCCATTAAAGGTCTCCTTGGGTCCATCCCAGATAATGCGTTTCAGAAGAATCTTGTGGGGACGGATTGGAGTATCAATTATAGACTTGCATCAGTGTTTCTGGGTGGTTTAAAATTAGCTGGTGTTGGATTCATTTCAAGCATTGCGGCTGTTGCTGCCTCAAATGGTTTGTTTGCTGTTCGCAAATTCATTAATCCAACTCTGATTAGTGATCAGGAAAAGAAAAGAACTCCAATACTTAAAACAGCAATAATTTATTCATCCTTTCTCGGAACATCAGCAAATCTCCGTTATCAGGTAAAGAAAGTACTTGCCATCTTGTTTTCTTCTTTGATTTTCATTTTTTGAGAATAAAAATGGATACAGGGAAACAGTTTTTTTACAATAATGTTGAAACCCATGAGAATGAATAAGGAAAATGGGTATATATCTTGACATTCTTATGAAACCAAACAACAACAACAACAACAACAAAGCCTTTTCCCACTAAGTGGGGTCGGCTATATGAATCCTAGAACGCCATTGCGCTCGGTTTTGTGTCATGTCCTCCGTTAGATCCAAGTACTCTAAGTCTTTTCTTAGAGTCTCTTCCAAAGTTTTCCTAGGTCTTCCTCTACCCCTTCGGCCCTGAACCTCTGTCCCGTAGTCACATCTTCGAACCGGAGCGTCAGTCGGCCTTCTTTGCACATGTCCAAATCACCGGAGCCGATTTTCTCTCATCTTTCCTACAATTTCGGCTACTCCTACTTTACCTCGGATATCCTCATTCCCAATCTTATCCTTTTCTCGTGTGCCCACACATCCCACGAAGCATCCTCATCTCCGCTACACACCCATTTTGTGTACGTGTTGATGCTTCACCACCCAACATTCTGTGCCATACAACATCGCTGGCCTTATTGCCGTCCTATAAAATTTTTCCCTTGAGCTTCAGTGGCCTACGACGGTCACACACAACACGCCGGAATGCACTCTTTCCATCCAGCTCGTATTCTATGGTTGAGATCTCCATCTAATTCTCTGTTCTCTTGCAAGATAGATCCTAGGTAGCGAAAACGGTCGCTTTTTGTGATCTTCGCTAGATTGCTCCGGTCATTAGTGTGGATAAGTATATAAATGGATAGAGATAGGAAAGCAAACACAAGATGTATGTGGTTCACCCAGATTGGCTACGTCCACGGAATAGAACAGTTCTCATTAATTGTGAAGGGTTTACACAAGTACATAGGTTCAAGCTCTCCTTTAGTGAGTACAAGTGAATGATTTAGTACAAATGACATTAGGAAATATTGTGGGAGAATAATCTCGTAATCACGAAACTTCTAAGTATCGGAGTGTGGTGTCGTCTTGACTTGCCTTATCTGTCTCATAGGTAGATGTGGCATCTTATCTGGAAGTACTCTTCCTCCATCCAGGGGTGGTATCTTTAACTGGTGGAGATGCACAAGGTAATGTATCAATTTCACTTGAAGCTTACTTGTAGTTTCAGGCTTGGTCAAGCGCGATACAAACCATGTAGTAGGAGTCCTCCAAGTCGCCGAGCTAGGGGGTCTGCTGAAAGAGGTGACAGACAAGGTAAGCAATCAGAGCTCCGACTGATTGTTCACCTTCTCCCCATCTTGCAACAGCATGAAGGATAAAGAGAAGAAAAATGAGAAGAGATGATATGAGATACTTTTGCTTTTGAAGAAGTAACTTTCCACAGGCTTATTCTTGAACTGAGCTGGAGGGTTCTCTGGTTTCCTCCAGAGTATAAGGCCGACTGAAGAATTTGAGGGTCAAAACAAGTCCATCAAATCTAGAGTACGTTCCACCGTGCTGATATGGGATACTTTTGCTTTTGACAGAGTAATGGATGTATCGGCACGTGTGCTGTTACGCTTGTCTCCACATGCTTCCTTGTATCCTTCGCACTTGCCCTATCTGTTCCTCAAGCAGATGCGGAATCTTCCCTGGAAACATAAGATGTTGAAGATGAATACTCGAGAGCAATGCCAGGTAAGTAATCAGGTAAGGGGTTCCAGGCAGTCAGTTCCTGGCTGGAAGCTTGATTCCAAGTGCTGACTGATTGCTCTCTTTCTCCTTGTCTTGCAGGTAAAAACAAGGCCAAAAGAAAAGACAGGGAAAAAGCATGATATGGGATACTCTTGCTTTTAACCCTGATGATATGAGATATTCTTGCTCTAGAATAGCTTGTTTGCAGAGGTATTATCGGGGGGAAAAAAAGCTGAATATTTCGAAAGGCTTCGTTGGGAGTGCCCTCTCAGATATGATGAAGGGTTGAGCATTTTTGCAGGTCTGCCTGTCCGTTGGGGATGGAGGTCGACATATATAGGAGTCTCCCTAACAACAAGTAGTAATGCTATTCCTTTACCCTGCTCGGTCATAGCACGGTAGTGGGAGCTGCCAGTTTCACATGTTTTAACTCTGTCAGAGCACTTTGAAAAAGTGGTCTGTGGTATCTGGCTCTCGAGATTCGGAGAACGATGCCTCTTCGATTTTTGAGAAAGCAATCATGCTGGGGTCTGACTCTCGAGATTCGGAGAGCAGTGGCTCTTCGATTTTTGAGGAAGTAATCATGTTGGGAGTCTGGCTCTCGAGATTCGGAGGGCGGTGCCTCTTCGATTTTGGAGCAAGCAATCTTGTTGGGAGTGTTGTCTCGAATGTGAGTAAAGGTTGGGCATGTTTGCTAGTCTACCTTGCCACGAAGCACAAAGGTTGACACACAGGGACTTTCCAATTATCCAGCAATGGTACTGTTCCTTTACCCTCTCTTCGATTTTGAGAAAGTAGTCATGTTGGGAGTCTGGCTCTCGAGATTCGGAGGATGGTGCCTCTTCGATTTTGGAGCAAGCAAGCAATCTTGTTGGGAGTGTTTTCTCGAATGTGAGTAAAGGTTGGGCATGTTTGCTAGTCTACCTTGCCACGAAGCATAGATAGAGGTTGACACACAGGGACTTTTCCAATTATCCAGCAGTAGTACTGTTCCTTTACCCTTGTGGGTAATAATATGGTAGCTAGACCTTCAAAATTTATGTGTCCAAACTTTGTTAGTGCTGTTTCTTTGCTATTCTTTTACCTTTCTTGGTCAGAGCGATGTAGTGGGAGCTGCAAGCTTCACGTGCTCAACTTTTGGCAGAGAACTTTGGCAAAGTTATCTGTGGTACCCATGAGCTATTGTTGCGTGTGGGAAGTGGGTGATTGAACAGTAAGATTCATGTGCTTTCTACTTCACCAGAAGTCTTCGACAGAATGCCCATAATTTCTGCAAAGCTGAGTGTGCGTGTGACAGGTGCTGACAAGGCTAGAAAAGTAGGTGCCTCTTCGATTTTTGAGATCGGCCCTCGTGGTCTCTGAGCAGCCCAGCTTTTGAGAAAGCGAGCGCCTCTTCGATTGATTCGGAGAACGATGCCTCATCGATTTTTGAGAAAGCAATCATGCTGGGGGTCTGGCTCTCGAGATTCGGGGAGTAGTGTCTCTTCGATTTTTGAGAAAGTAATCATGTTGGGATTTTGGCTCTCGAGATTCGGAGGGCGGTGCCTCTTCGATTTTGGAGCAAGCAATCTTGTTGGGAGTGTTTTCTAGAATGTGAGTAAAGGTTGGGCATGTTTGCTAATCTACCTTGCCACGAAGCACAGAGGTTGACACACAGGGACTTTCCAATTATCCAGCAATGGTACTGTTCCTTTTACCCCTCTCTTCGATTTTTAAGAAAGTAGTCATGTTGGGAGTCTGGCTCTTGAGATTCGGAGGACGGTGCCTCTTCGATTTTGGAGCAAACAATCTTATTGGGAGTGTTTTCTCGAATGTGAGTAAAGGTTGGGCATGTTTGCTAGTCTACCTTGCCACAAAGCACAGAGGTTTGACACACACATGGACTTTCCCAATTATCCAGCAGTGATACTGTTCCTTTTTACCCTTGTGGGGTAATAATATGGTAGCTAGACCTTCAAAAATTTATGGGTCTAAACTTTGTTAGTGCTGTTTCTTTTGCTATTCTTTTACCCTTCTTGGTCAGAGCGATGTAGTGGGAGCTGCAAGCTTCACGTGCTAAGTGCTTGGGCCAGCTTTTTGAGAAGCCCAGCTTTTGAGAAAGCGAGCGCCTCTTCGATTTCTCTGAGATCGGCCTTCGTTGTCTTTGAGCAGCCCAACTTTTGAGAAAGCAAACGCCTCTTCGATTTCTGAGATCAACCCTCGTGATCTCTAAGCAGCCCAGCTTTTGAGAAAGCAAACGCCTCTCTTCGATTTCTGAGCAGGCGCTCCTTCGATTCGAAGCTTTCGAACAGATTTTTATAGGGGCTGGCATTAAGTTCCAAAGCACACTTGAATCTCCACCAATAGAAGCTTCATTCTTGCACTTCTAAGATCTTGATTTGTCCGACCTCTTCTCTCTCTTCAACACTTTTGAAAATGTCTGGCCCCTCCGACCGTCGTTTTGACTTGAACCTTGTTGAAGAGGCAGCCCCGCCTTCTCCAGACAACATATGGCGCCCATCCCTTCGTCTCCCCTACTGGTCCTCTTACCGTTGGGGATTCCGTGATGAAGAATGATATGACCGCTGCGGTGGTGGCCAGGAACCTTCTCACTCCCAAAGATAACAGACTACTTTCCAAACGGTCTGATGAGTTAGCTGTTAAGGATTCGCTGCGCTCTCAGTGTTCAGTGTGGCAGGTTCTGTGTCTAATATGGCCCAACGCTTATTTGCTCGAACCCGCCAAGTTGAATCATTGACGGCTGAAGTGATGAGTCTCAAACAGGAGATTAGAGGGCTCAAGCATGAGAATAAACAGTTGCACCGGCTCGCACATGACTATGCTACAAACATGAAGAGGAAGCTTGACCAGATGAAGGAAACTGATGGTCAGGTTTTACTTGATCATCAGAGATTTGTGAGTTTTGTTCCAAAGGCATTTATTGCCTTCGTCTTCTGGGGCTGTACCGCGTAATGAAGCTCCAAATGATCAACCTCTGATGCCTCCTCCTAGGGTTCTGTCCAGTACTGAGGCTCCAAATGATCCCCTCCGGTGCCTTCTCTTTCTGGGGCTCTACCGACTGCTGAGACTTCTCCTAAGCAACCTTTGTGAAGGCTCCCTCTTGTGTGTTTATTTTGACTCATGTATATGTACATATTTGTAGCTTATCGGGATATCAATAAATAAGCTTTCCTTCATTTCAACGTATTGTGTTAAATACACCCCAAAGCCTTCTTCGCTAAGTTCTTTGAATTTTCTTTTGTTGAAGCTTGTATGTTGAAGCTTTCTGAGTGGGAGCATGTAGGTTGGGGTAGTGTTCCCTTAATTTCCCGAGTGAGGAAAACTTCTCGGTTGGAGACTTGGAAAATCCAAGTCACTGAGTGGGATCGGCTATATGAATCTTAGAACGCCATTGTGCTCGATCCTGTGTCATGTCCTTCGTTAGATCCAAGTACTCTAAGTCTTTTCTTAGAGTCTCTTCCAAAGTTTTCCTAGGTCTTCCTCTACCCCTTCGGCCCTGAACCTCTGTCCCATAGTCGCATCTTCTAATCGGAGCGTCAGTAGGCCTTCTTTGCACATGTCCAAACCACCGTAACCGATTTTCTCTCATCTTTCCTTCAATTTCGGCTACTCCTACTTTTACCCCGGATATCCTCATTCCTAATCTTATCCTTTCTCGTGTGCCCACACATCCAACGAAGCATCCTCATCTCCGCTACACCCATTTTGTGTACGTGTTGATGTTTCACCGCCCAACATTCTGTGCCATACAGCATCGCCGGCCTTATTGCCGTCCTATAAAATTTTCCCTTGAGCTTCAGTGGCATACGGCGGTCACACAACACGCCGGATGCACTCTTCCACTTCATCCATCCAGCTTGTATTCTATGGTTGAGATCTCCATCTAATTCTCCGTTCTTTTGCAAGATAGATCCTAGGTAACGAAAACGGTCGCGCTCTTTGGTATTTCTTGATCTCCGATCCTCACCCCTAACTCGTTTTTGGCCTCCATTTGCACTGAACTTGCACTCCATATATTCTGTCTTTGATCGGCTTAGGCGAAGACCTTTAGATTCCAACACTTCTCTCCAAAGGTTAAGCTTTACATTTTACCCCTTCCTGAGTTTCATCTATCAACACTATATCGTCTGCGAAAAGCATACACCAAGGAATATCATCTTGAATATGTCCTGTTAACTCATCCATTACCAACGCAAAAAGGTAAGGACTTAAGGATGAGCCTTGATGTAATCCTACAGTTATGGGAAAGCTTTCGGTTTGTCCTTCATGAGTTCTTACGGCAGTCTTTGCTCCTTCATACATATCCTTTATAGCTTGGATATATGCTACTCGTACTCCTTTCTTCTCTAAAATCCTCCAAAGAATGTCTCTTGAGACCCTATCATACGCTTTTTCCAAATCTATAAAGACCATGTGTAAATCCTTTTTCCCATCTCTATATCTTTCCATCAATCTTCGTAAGAGATAGATTGCCTCCATGGTTGAGCGCCCTGGCATGAACCCGAATTGGTTGTCCGAAACCCGTGTCTCTTGCCTCAATCTATGCTCAATGACTCTCTCCCCAGAGCTTCATTGTATGACTCATTAGCTTAATACCCCTATAGTTCATGCAATTTTGTACGTCGCCCTTATTCTTGTAGATAGGCACCAAAGTGCTCGTTCGCCACTCATTTGGCATCTTCTTCGTTTTCAAAATCCTATTGAAAAGGTCAGTGAGCCATGTTATACCTGTCTCTCCCAAAAGTTTCCACACTTCGATTCGTATATCGTCTGGGCCTATTGCTTTTTTATGCTTCATCTTCTTCAAAGCTACAACCACTTCTTCCTTCCGGATTCGACGATAAAAAGAGTAGTTTCTACACTCTTCTGAATTACTCAACTCCCCTAAAGAAGCACTCATTTCATGTCCTTCATTGAAAAGATTATGAAAAATAACCTCTCCATCTGTCTTTAACCGCGTTCTCTGTAGCAAGAACCTTTCCATCCTCATCCTTGATGCACCTCACTTGGTTTAGGTCCCTTGTCTTCTTTTCCCTTGCTCTAGATAGTTTATAGATATCCAACTCTCCTTCTTTGGTATCTAGTCGTTTATTACATATCGTCGTAAGCCGCTAACTTAGCTTCTCTGACAGCTTTCTTCGCCTCTTGCTTCGCTTTTCTATACCTTTCACCATTTTCATCGGTCCTCTCCTTGTATAAGGCTTTACAAACATTCCTTCTTAGCCTTCACCTTTGTTTGTACCTCCTCATTCCACCACCAAGATTCCTTTTGGTGTGGGGCAAAGCCCTTGGACTCTCCTAATACCTCTTTTGCTACTTTTCGGATACAACTAGCCATGGAATCCCACATTTGGCTAGCTTCCCCCTCTCTATCCCACACACATTGGGTGATTACCTTCTCTTTTGAAAATGACTTGTTTTTCTTCTTTTAGATTCCACCATCTAGTCCTTGGGCACTTCCAAGTCTTGTTCTTTTGTCTTACTCTTTTGATATATGTACATCCATCACCAACAAGCGATGTTGATTAGCCACGCTCTCTCCTGGTATAACTTTGCAATCCTTACAGTTAGTTATACGATCCCCTTTCCTCATTAGAAGAAAATCTATTTGTGTTTTTTGACGACCCACACTCTTGTAGGTGATCACATGTTTCTTCTCTCTTCTTAAAGAAGGTGTTGGCTAAGAAGAGATCATATGCCATTGCAAAATCCAAGATAGCTTCCCCCATCCTCGTTTCTCTCCCCAAAACCATGGCCACCATGAAAACCTCCATAGTTGCCTGTCTCCCTGCCCACGTGTGTCCATTTAAATCTCCTCCTATAAATAACTTCTCCGTCTGAGCAATTCCTTGCACCAAGTCAAGTCTCCAAGATCTTCCCAAAATTTCTCCTTCGAACTCGTATCCAACCCTACTTGAGGTGCGTACGCACTAATCACATTGATAAGTTCTTGTCCTATTACAATCTTGATTGCCATGATTCTATCTCCTACCCTCTTGACATCTACAACATCTTGTACCAAGGTCTTGTCCACGATGATGCCAACACCGTTTCTCGTTCTATTTGTGCCCGAATACCAAAGTTTAAACCCTGAGTTTTCTAGATCCTTTGCCTTACTACTACCAACCCACTTAGTTTCTTGTAGGCACATAATATTTATCCTTCTCCTCACCATAACTTCCACTACTTCCATAGATTTTCCCGTTAAGGTTCCTATATTCCACGTTCCTAAACGCATTTTGCTCTCTTGAACTCTACTCTTCTGTCCTAGCTTCTTCACCCTCCCCCGTCTAATAGGATCAAAGTACTTCTTTTGTGTGTCCCGGGTAAAGTTGATAGGAGCATATGCTCCCAAACAACTTTGAGTGGAGTCGTTCGAAAAGAAGTTTCTATGGCCCCCTTGCTCATTTAACACTGCATCCGGGTGCCGATGGGGATACAGCGACCCTTGCTCACTTATCACTGTGCTCGGGCCACACAGCGCGCCACTTACGGGTGACGCCCTAGCTTTAGCACGATTTGTTCTGGATTCATTTTCATAAGGATTCGACGTGATCATGGAGTGCCGGCTGTCGACTACCTGACGCCCTCCCCCTCCTCCTTTATCCGGGCTTGGGACCGGCCATGTAAGACATAGGCGGAGTTATTCTTGTGAAACCGATGCCCACAAAATTTTTTTCATCTTGAAGTGAGAGCCAGCTACGACCTGTGGGACATCCGAAGATTATAAATCGAAATGAAGCTCATAATGTCATCCAAAGATTATCTAGGACAAGTTTTCTCTTCAATATAACAAAACGAAAGCATATTTATACATCGTAAATTCTTAATCATGTCTTATGTTTCCCTTGGCATTAACTTGAAACTTAATTATGATGCAGATTATTGCTGGAGTAATAGAGCATCGAATTTCTGACGAGTTTGCTTCTCAAACATTACTTGTAAATCTGCTGTCTTTTGTTTCTCGGACAATAAACTCGTATTGGGGAACTCAGGTCAGAATCATCTTGATATTCTGCAAGTTAAAATTCCTTTAATTTTTCAAAGATCAACTTAGCCATGGCAAAAATATTATTACTCTTACTGGAAGCATAAATACCTGGCTCATCCCGTTACTGTATTTGTAATTATGGCCGCTATGTTTTTAAAGTGTATATTTGTCAGAGTGGAAAGTGCGGATCTTTTTCAGAACGTCTTTAGAAAATAATTTGTAGTTATGTGTGTATGTGTCTTAGAGTATCTGGCTCGTCCCATTATTGTATTAATTTGTACTTATGTAGACTCATAATAGTGCACTGTTGTTTATAAAAACCTTTGGTAAACCTCGTGATGCACTTAGTTTGTATGCCGTTAGATCAATTTTTCTCCCAATGTTATTTTCAATGTTTCATTTTTACTGCTGCAGCAATGGATTGATCTTGCACGCTTTACTGGACTGCAATCTCGGAAGAGTGAGTCATCCTCTCACCAAATGCCAGAAATGCCCGATTCTACTAACCAAATGGCAGCACTGGAAGGTAACAACACGGAGGAGACAAGTTTAGATGAAATCCAAAGTAAATGAGGTGATATTTTCCCACTTTAGATCTTCATACTAGTTTGCAGAATTTTCTTTAAAATCTGCCGGGAGAGATCTCAAAGAACGGATTTTGGCCCTTAGCTTTAAATGTATCAATTCAGTTACGTCCCCTGTTGTAAATTCCTTAATGTAATACAGTTAATTTTGGTGATCACTATTACAATTCTGTCAATTTTGGTGATCACAAAGGCAGTATTATAGAATTAAATGCTCAGTGCGTGAGAATAGTTTCCGAATCTCATCTAATCTGTTGGTAGGAGGTACTTGGAAAGAAAATAGATTGAAATTATCTCATAAACAAAATGAATGGAGAAACCTTGACGTGCAAATATTTTCTCTTCAAATGGTGCTGTCAACATTTGGACATTTCTCCTCAGATGTTACGGAACTAATCGAAGTATCAGAGACTGATACTTTGCAGGTGATCCATATGCTGCAAGAGGAAGAGGAGTTCATTTTCTGTCAAAGGTTTTTTTGTGAATGTACTAGTATGTATGTAGAGATATGATGAATATAAATCCTACCTTTGGTTGATAACACTCCCTTGTTAAGAGTTTTGTTTTGTTTTTTTCTTTTTCTTAGGAAAGTTACATTATGTTACTCTTGAAAAACAAAGTACAAAAAGACCCCAAAATGGTATCATTTACAGAAAAATGAATGGGGTTATACGAAAAAGGAAGAGTTTCTAAACTCTATTTCCTATTCATTAACTGTAATTGTCCAGGATCCTCTTACTGTTTCCTCAGGTGGTGCATCCTGAATTAGCGGTTCTCTGTCAACTGGTTGATTCCGACTAACTGGTTTCCCTCCTATTCTCTGTTGCTGCAACACTAGTACAGAAACTGAGCAATGAAAATCCGAGGAAGCAAGCATATCCCCGATGATTCCAAGCTCCGGGCACTCACTCCACTCACCAAGCCCCGAAAGAAGTCGGGAGTCCTGATGGTGCATGCCTACCAATATCAAATCAAAACAATCACCATTGATTTGATAACAGCAGACAATCTTGCTCCATCTCTTACCACCTCTTCCACGACGACAAACCGCTCATTGTCTGCATTAGCTAGCCGGTAGTCATCAACCAGGTCAGTGTCCCGCTTCCGTTCTTTACTGTTTTCATCACCAAAGAGAAGCAACCGGGCAACTGTTAAATCCACGCTCGGATGTCTTGCCATGCGAGCACCATAGGCTAGTGCCTCTGCATCGTCTGCACCACCAATGAAGATCACAGCGACATGGAATATATACTGGCTGGTTAGAACTGACAACGACCCTGCTAGCAGTCCCCGGTCAATGAGAATTCCAACAGAGCAAGGTGCCATTTCGAGGACATTCTTGTTCATGGACCGGAGAGCTCGGTTCACTGCCCCAATGTTGCCATCTACTGCCCATTGCTTGTGAAATGGCAGGATCACCAGGTTAACCCTATTATCTAATGCTACCCGGCAAACATCCTCGTGCATTGTTATATACTGTGAGATGGAAGTGAATGCTTGGAGGGATACGCACCCTTCGTTATGCTGCTCGTACTGCCTCAGTGCTTTGACAATATGGCTGGACATGGCTGTATTGTTGTCCAAGTTGTCATGGGGTTGGTGTGCCACAAGAATAGGGTTGGTTCGCCCTACAAGCTCAGTGAGGACGAGTCCTATGACTGCAACAGGGTTCTCTTCTGTAGCATTTGATACCTCCAGGACGTTTATGACAGTGGGAACATTGTCGTGGTTGTGGATACAGGCCAGGATTTGGAGCTCTGACCTGCGCTTCAAATGCTGGATAGTACTTCTTTTAAGTGCTGCGTATTTGTTCGAAGGATCATGAAGATACCTTATCAAAGGTGTTACAATTGCTGTCATCACTATCACTGAGAACACGGACAGCGCGAATTCTTGATCAGTCAGAATCTGTAAAAGATTCATCATATCATCCGAGGTGAGCATCGTACTGAAAACAATTAGAGAAAAAGATAGTTTAAATTAGTGATTGAGATTCAGACCTTGCCTTGCTTCCAAATATTGAACATAACAAGCTCAGTGATGCCTTTTGCATTAAGGATAACGCCGAGCACAAAAGCTTCATGCGTAGGGACATCAAAATAGGCCGCTGGTAACATTACTGCTCCTATCTTCACCAGGGCAGAAAAGAGAACAAGAAAACCCATAATCCATGTAGACCGAGGATTAATCCTGAAGATGTTCGTCCTCAGCCCGCTATTGGCAAGGTAACTTGGGTAGAACAATCCTGTAGCCATAATTTCCAACTTCATCACCAATGCAGATCCCAAAGGCGGTCCTTCAGGCACGACGAAGCCAAGCACTAGAGGTCCCAGCAGGTAATGCTGGCTGACGAGCTCACTGAGAAATCCGCACACAAGAACAAACAGGAAAATGGTAATGATATATGACTCCTTGACAGATTTCCCTTCCTCTATACGGTTTAGCATCCATAGAATTGTTGGCCTGAACACATATATAATCGAAAGAATAAAAACTGCTGCTGTTATTATTTCCAAAGCTGGAACTAACGCACTTTTTGTCTTGTTACCCAAAATTGCCATGGCAATCCCAACCATGCTGATGCCAATAACATCGGCAAACATTGTTACAGAGAGGGCCAGGCGGCCAAGGTCTGTGTTCATTAGCTTGAGCTCGGTTAGTAAACAACCAATCACAGGGGAACCCGTTACAGCCTGTGCTGCAGTTATAGTTGGGAGAGCCGTCTTAAGGGTCTCGTCCATTGCGACATATTTTCTCATTGTCATGGCTAGGCATAAGGGGAGTGCCAAGGTGAAGAAGAACATCGAAAGTGCAATGGCAACTACTCTTCGTTCGGGCCTTATCATTCTGTCTGCATTCATCTTCACTCCTATTGAAAAAAGGAAGAACATGAGGCCGAATGTTGAAATAGTTTCAAACACATTAGCGCCTTTTATTGGGAAGATGGTGTTTGCAATTTCCTTTCTGTGCCCCAGAAGTGATGGCCCAAATATTACACCGCCCTGAAGAAGGTACACATTTTCGATTTGTTAGATACACACGGAATATATAGCTACATAATCATCCTCTGTTCATACAGAATGATACACGCTGATTTTCGAGTTAATTTCATACTGTGCTTCCTTTTAATTTTACCCTTTTTAATGCAACAAAAAGAAGCATGGCGAATTAGTTCATATAGAAATGGTGTCCAAATGTAGGTACAAGTTTTGTTAATGTAGAGATTGAAATCGTACAAACATCTGAGAAACGATGGTGGACTGTCCCATGGGTTTGAGGCAGAGATTGATCAACTGGGAAACAATGGTGATGGCAGATAACTGCAGCAGAAGAAGAGATGTAGAGGATCTGAGAGGGTTGTGATGGCGCCATAGTCCATCGGAAACAATGTTGCCGTGGGGTGCTTGGCACACCAAACTCACATTGTCTATGGCCTGTTCGATATCTATAACCAACGTATTTATCTCCAAGCCCATCTGGGCTGGGCACCACAAGGAAGAGGAAGAAGAAAATGAAAGGAACAACGAAAGAAAGATACCGAAAAATCGGAGAAAGAAGAAGTGAACGCAACAGGTACCATACACAAGAATTACACATACACAAACACACACAGTCGGAGAGAGGAATGGGAGGTGAAGCTGATATTTTGGGAATTTAAGTCTTTGACGGGTGAGCTATATCCTACAAAATAGATAATCTAAATTCGAGCCTTTAGAAAACTGCGGGTGTTTAGCTATAGCATGCATGGATTATTCTTTTTTTTTTTTTAATTTTTTTATTTATTAACCTAAATATAAGGTAATTAGTAACATTAATCCAAATATTAATAAGGCTACAAGTTTACTGGCTACAAGGTGATAGATTAGGGGCTAAATCACCTCATGTTTTAAAGAGCATACTGATATGACTGCAAGCTAGTGATTGATGATGTTGACTAATGAAGCACTAGAACGAAGAATTCGTCAATTTTGATTTATTTGGATTTTATGATACTTAACGTAGTCACATTAGCAAAAGGAGGTGTGTCGAAAGTATGAGTTTGAATTTCTCTCTTTGCAATTTGAACTGAATTTTAACTCTCCACGATACTCATGCCCATTCGTCACATGATTTAGCAACCACAATTTTTAGAGCAACTCACAATACATTGTTATCGTGCAACTCGTGTCTATTAGACAGCGTTACGTGAAGCAAATGCAGTATGAAGAGAACCTTACACGATGCGTTATACCATTAACATAAGATGAAGTTTCAGCTAATTATACATTAGAATTCCACCTTTTGAGAGTGTATTATGGTTAATGTCAAAATCAAATTGGAGATTTTTCGAGAATGAACCGGCTCATAACATAGATCTAAATCTTTACTTAATAAAAAAAAAAACACACACACACACACACAATAACTACTAATAAGTATCAAACGGCTAAAAATCCTGGAACAGGGCATGAAACGATGCATTCTAGAATTCTCCAGTAAGCGGATAAAACCGAAGTCGCTTCCGCGTGGCATGAAAAAACAGTGGGCCTGCGTCACTCTCGACCCATATGTCACAAAGTAAAGAAATTTCTAGGCCTCAGTGGGCAAGTTGGGAATTCCAAGAAAATTGTGGGTAGTTACCAAAAAAAAAAAATTTGTGGGCCACTAAAATTGAGTAACCGACCAATCCCCCTATTTTTACGCCCTTCAATTAAAATATTAATTAATTTGTCTGCATTTACTCATTAATTTGCCTATTTATAGTAAGATATTTCCACTCTTATCCTTATCTGCTCGTTCATCTCCTTAAACGTACAGTCTCTCTCTCTCTCTCTCTCTCTCTCATCGACGTCGTTTCGAGATTGACAGCAAGGAAAGCAAGCAGCGAACTGGCCATGGACGTGATCTCCAGGAGCGCGACGACGTCGTCGAATCTGAATCCCAACGCTCCGATGTTCGTGCCGCTGGCGTATCGGACGGTGGAGGACTTCTCCGCCGAATGGTGGGCCCTGGTTCAGTCCTCCCCTTGGTTCCAAGACTACTGGCTCCGGGAGCGCTTCCAAGATCCCCAAAACGACGGCGCCTATCCCGATATTCTCGATCCTGACCTCCTCCCCGACATCGACGCTCTCTTCGACGACGTCGAGAACCACCACCACTCCCCCCGCACTCAGCGTAAGCATTTCTAACTATAACTGCTTCTAGATCATAGAAGCACTTTTAGAAAAGCACTTGTGCAGTTGTGCTTTTCCCAGTAAGCAATCCAAATGCTTTTTCAAGAGTTAACAAAAAAATTTCAATATTTTCCAACAAAAGCACTCCTGGAAAAAGCAGCGGAAGTGCTTCCTACAGAAGCAGTTCCTAACGAGTGTAGTACCTTTCACTCTGAGTCAACTCGATCGAGTTTCCGATCTGACTCTGTTTAAAATTTTGTGGTGTGCAGCGGCGGTGGAGGAACAAGAGAAGGACTTGAAGAAAGAGCTGGCGTCGTTGGGATTGCTGAAATGGCGGAAGGGCCGACCCGCGGCGGAGGCGCCGAGGTACATCGAAAAGGCTCCGAAGATTGTCAACGTGAAAGTGAGTCCGAGGCCGATCCAGCAGCCGCGGTAGACCGATTCGGTCGGCTCTGGATCACCGAGTTTGATGTAGCCTTTTGGTTTTTTTGGTAGATAAGCATGTATCTAGCTTTCACCGTCTGTTCATGTACATGTGTTCTACCGCTTGTAACTTTGTTTTGAGCAATAAATTAAATCTAATTAGCGACTAATTAGATCTTGTTTAAGCAACTAATTGACTATGTGGGAGAAGGAAAATTATTATTTAAACAGAAATTAAATTACAAAATTGAAGGCTTTGAGAAGCCTGATTACATAGGCCGCAGTGTGGCTCGAGCGGTTAAGAGTATTCATTTCTGCATTGAAGATCGAGTCTCTCCTAACCGTCGGATCGAAATATTTGATTATTTTCTGTTTTGCTAGCGACTGAAGACTCTGTGATTGAATTCTGATTCAGGAGGTTGCTTCCTTTCCTTCCCAAGTGCTTGCCATCTTTCCAATCTTTTGAAGAACCCTAACGACTTCTTCCTCCGTAACGTTTCCGGTCACCGTGACCTTGTTGAGTTGTGGGTCCACGTTGTATGTTTCAATATCTGCTAGCCAGAAAGAGCAGAAGCAATCAAAAAATGGGTTGGAATTAGTTGAAGGGAAATGTTATTTGCGAGTGTTAGGATCAGTCGTGCAAGCGCGCAAGCTAGTTATGGTTGTTCTTGCTTCGCTTGTGCGCGCGTTTACGATGTGGATCCTGACGCTCTTCGCCGTAGTTTAAAGCATGAAAGTAGACATGAATTACCTTCAATCTTCTTGATGGCCTTCAAGATTTTCTTGATGCATTCCTCGCAGTGCAAGCCCACCTTCAATTCCACCACCTAAGACAACAAAAATAAAAGGCTCCATTAGTTCAATCAAAATCAAAAGCCATAAAATTTCAGCAATTTAAGATGGATCTTGCTTACATTTCCCATTTAATCTTGATGATGGATTTGAGCCAAAAAGTGGAAACTGTTGAGTGTGGAAAGAGGTGGAAATGGGAAGGAGATGGTTCTTGATGTGTTATCATAGTGAACAGAAAGTTGAGACATATTAATAAACGGTGGTGAATGAGGTATTGGATTCTTTACTTGATTGACTGGGGCCACAATGAAGAAAAGAAGAGAGATTTGGTCATGCGGAACAAAGATTTACCGATGTTTTGATTAGAAAATGTGGTTATAAGACAGAAATCCACGACAATGAGATACTTAAAAAAAACTCTGAAAATATATGAAGTATATGAAGTTAACGAAAGACTTTACGCAATACCGAGTGCAATTATATTACAAAATTTATACAGTCGACTTCACTTAACGGAATAAGATTTTATTGTTATTTTAAATTTTAAATTTTCCACTTTGTGTAAAGCTGCTTTGTTCTTGATTTTTGGCTTGAAAGCAACAAGGCTCTTCATAGGGCGGGCAAATATCATGAAAGCTGCCGGCTTTGGTTGGGGCAAAGAAAGGGGATATATTGTTTTATTCAAACTTCTTCAAGAACGAGGGCCCATAGATTGACCACTTTTCTTCAATACGCGTCCACATTAAGTGCGTAAACTTTGCGAAAAATAATAATTTTGGTGTTTAAAATGGTCGAGAGTAATGTACCACTTTAACGATGTGAAAAATTGTATGTACTTAACGTCGACACGTATTTGAAAAAAATCCGAGACTTTGGAGGGTTGTAATATTCGGTTCACACGGAGAAATGCAGATTGAACCGTGAATTTTTGTGAAAGAATAACATGGAAAGGGACCACTAATAGTCTTCCACCATGAACATTTCATTTTTTTTTTTTTTAAGGGCATTTTCGAGTTCATGATCCCAACTTAGTGCCATATTTCTTTGCTGTCATTCATTGTTATACTTTTTAGTCAAAAATTAGTATAACTATTTACTTTAATCTCTGATAAAAAAAATTAGAAATATTTTCTGAGTTATCCAGCGTTAATTATTTTGGTTTTTCTGTGAAAAATTTGTCAATATCCTCGTAAGTCAATAGAATTGGTCCTCTATTGACAATTTTTTTTATTAAATAACCAAAATAATTTATAAGGAGTTTTAATTAAAAGTCCGCGGTACTGTTCACTTTAACGAAAAATCACATTTTTACACTAAAAAGTCAAACCTGATACTATTCACTTTACCTTTTATTTTGTCTTTATTATTAAAACTCAAAGTTTTCAAACTATTTTTATTAATTTTTCTTAATTTATAATAGATAAACTTATGACCACTTGTATTAATTTTTATTGCTACGAACCAAAGCAAAAAAATTATGCTAATTTGAACCAGACGTGAGTGGACAGTGCGGCAAATGGAAGTGGGGTTCATGACTTTTCTGGCAGGCCAACAGAATTTATTGCAGGCCTTGAGATTGGATTCGGCTGAATTCCCTTTTACTCTTGAGGTTCATGAAAACTGGGCCTCTTTGGACAGTTGGGCTGAAATCCTTTACAAGCCGCGTATATTTAATCTGACTACAACAATCATCACGTGCATAATTCTTTTCCATACATTATTTTTCATGAATGAGCGGTTGAGATTTAACTAACTTTTTTTTTAGTAAAATCTTAACCGTTTATTATTGTCTTTTGATGCTTAAGAGGTCCAAAAAAAGATATATCTTTGGTCGCATAGCAGTTAGTTATGTGCAAGTTGCGTAGACATAAAAGAAATATATTGTAACATCCCACATCGTCCAAGGGAGTGGATCTTCTAAGTTTTATATGTATATTCTCATCTCTACCTAGCACGAGGCTTTTTAGGACCTCACTAGCTTCAGGTTCCATTGAAACTCCGAAGTTAAGCGAGTTTGCACGAAAGCAATCCCATGATAGGTGACTCACTGGGAAGTTCTCGTGTGAGTTCCCATAAACAAAACCATGAGGGTGTGGTCGGGGCCCAAAGCCGACAATATCATTCTACGGTGGAGTCGAGTCCAGGATGTGATGGGAGCCCGAGCCGGGATGTGACAATTTAGTATCAAAGTCAATCCCTGGTCGGATGTGTGCTGATGAGGACGTTGGGCCCCTAATGAGGTGGATTGTAACATCCCACATCGCCCATGGGAGTGGATCTTGTAAGCCTTATATGTATTCCCATCTCTACCTAGCACGAGGCATTTTGGGATCTCGTTGGCTTCGCGTTCCATCGGCACTCCGAAGTTAAGCGAGTTCGCGCAAGAGCATTCCTATGATGGGTGACCCACTGAGAAGTTCTCGTGTGAGTTCCCAAAAACAAAACCGTGAGGGTGTAGTCGGGGCCCAAAGCGGACAATATCGTGCTACGGTGAAGTTGAGCTTGGGATATGGTGAGGGCCTGGGCGAGGATGTGACAATTTGGTATCAAAGCCAATCCCTGGTCGGATGTGTGCTGACGAGGACATCGGGCCCTAAGGGGGGTGGATTGTAACATCCCACATCACCCAGGATAGTGGATCTTATAAGCCTTATATGTATTCCCATCTCTACCTAGCACGAGGCATTTTGGGACCTCATTGGCTTCGGGTTCCATCGGAACTCCGAAGTTAAGTGAGTTCGCGCGAGAGTATTCCCATGATGGGTGACCCACTGGGAAGTTCTCGTGTGAGTTCTCAGAAACAAAACCGTGAAGGCGTGGTCGGGGCCCAAAGCAGACAATATTGTGCTACGGTGGAGTTGAGCCTGGGATGTGGTACGGGCCTGGGGCGAGATGTGACATATATCCTGATAGTAGACTTGTAAAGCATATTTAGCTATATACAATTATATAGGGGACGATCTATGGCACCAATTTTTTTACACAATTTTTATGGAACTCACTTCGTAATGTATTTCAAATATTCGAACCGCTCATCTTTTAAGTCTTTCTTCAAAGATCATATGTCTTCCAAAAATCACAAATCTGAAACCATATGATGTCTGTCTTTTGCTTGTGTAATTTATGTATTTGGGGAAAGGATCCTCTTCAGACCCAAACTCTCTCGATCCTCCTTCTTCTTCTTTCTTTTCTACAGTTTTGCTTATGTTGCTGCTTATTCTTCAATAATCCTTCTCCTTCACTCATGGGTCTTCTTTTTCATGTTTATATAAAACTTCCACATTCTCAGTTTTATATAGAATCACAATCGTCAACGGTTATTATGACGCTGTTGGTAACTAGCTCCGAAGAGGCCACGACGCTAACTTCGAGAAGCACGATGCCGATTCTGGGGAAGCCACGACGCCAATGCGGCCTTTAAAGAAAAAGGATCAGGAGGATTCGGAGGGTTTGGGTTCGGAGAGGATCCTCTCCGATGTATTTGGGACTTTGTTCATGTAATTAAGTTGTGTTATACTAATAAAGTAACCCTTTTACCAAAAAAAAAGAAAAGAAAAAAAAAGACTGATTTCAGTAACGAACCAAACGGAACAAATATCTTCCAGTTGGGATGCTGACATTAACCGTTGACCAACTACAACACAACACGCCACGTGTCCATCTGTTCAATGATTCGTTGCGTCCTCTCTCCGCTTCCATGTCTCATCGGTTGGCAATTTCCTGTTTTGCTTCATCTAATTCACCAAAAACCAATGATTTATTTATAATCTCCTTTCCATCAGCCTCAAAAGTCTTCCCTTTTTCTTGCTTGTTCAGCTTCTTCTGGGTCCAATTACTTTACAGCTCTGAGCCTCCGGAGGCTCAGAAGATTGCTGGGAAAATTGAGAAATGGGGTTGTTGGGAAGCTTCGTAAGGTTCCTCTTGGGCCAATGCAGCAAACCCACCACCACCGGCGGGGACTACTCTGATCCACTTGGCCATCACGGCGTCTCCGCCACCACTGTCGGCGTTTCGGCTCTTGCCCAAGACCTCTACAACTTCGAGATCACCTCTCAGGTAATCTTTTTATCACTAATTCAACTGTTTCATCACTTTTTCGGTTCTTAAGGCCGGAAATGCAGTTTATTTCTTCACAATTCTCGTTCTTTTGATAGGTAAAAAGCTTAATCTGAGTAAATGGATGATGATTTTTTGGTTTTTACGTTTCTGGGTTTTGTTAATTTCGATCGCGTTTTCTTAAAGTGGACTTTTTTTTTTCTTCTTCTCAATTTTGCATGTTTGTGATTTTTAAGGTCCCAGAAGGGCTCGGTCAGCATGTTGCCTCGTCCAGGAAAGCTCAAGCTAACTGGTAATTAGCAAACGATTCGCAATCTACCTCATTAGGGTTCGTTTGAATGTGCTTTTAAAATTACCTGAAACGTTTTTAGAGAAAATGTTTTTTTGGTTCCAAAATTACTTAATGCTTTCTGGAAGAAACACATATCCATGAAGCATTTAACTGCTTTTTCATAATTTACTTGCATTTTTATTAAGAATTGGTTCCAAAAACATTTTCACCGAAAGCGTTTTCAGTTATTTCAAAAGCATATCTATCTAAACAAGCTCTGCAATTACGAATAAAAAAAGGTCAGACTTCGAAGAAATTTATATCCATATGAGTGAAATTTCTGTAAATTTCCAACTGTGTGAAGGTATAGAAAACTAGTTGTGACATGGAGGGAAGCAAAACCGCCACCAAGAACACCCGAAGAAGCGGCTAGTCTTGTCATACAAACCCTGAAAGGACATCGAAAGGCGGATGTTGAGGTACATTGCCACAAAATTCCGACCATTACATGCTTTTCACAACTTTAATGAAATACAGTAACGTAAAAGCGCTTCTGTGATTGCTTATCTGTAGGGTGTGTTGGCTTTCTATGGCCTCAATATTTCCTCTGAGGATCCAACATCATTGCCTCAAGGAGTAAAGTTTGAGTTCCAGACGCTACCGGTAATATATACTATTGCTTTTCACCACAACCAAGTGCCCGCAAAGTAGTTAGGAATTCTGATTGGTGATTCATTTTGATGAAACCAGGTTGATGCAAAAGCGATTGCAGATGGCGATACAGTGACAGTCTATGTCAGCACAGAGGATCCCAGGGAGTCATCCTGTGTTCCGAGCGATGTGCAAACAGCTGCCATTGAAAGATCAGAAGCACGCGCAGTGAGGAACTATACAAGGGCAGATGCACTTCACAAGAAGATCATTGATGCTGGATACCGGTTGGATATTCATGTGCCGCTTGCATTAATTTCGTTTAATTAATCATTTCCAATGCAGAAACAGGTTTCTAATTGCTTTTCCCCCTCCATTCAGGGTACTGAATATTGAAAACGAGGAGGTCCTTGCCCGAAAGTACAGGATCCGACTGAGGTAAAATCATCTGTTTACATGATTTCAACTAGCTGCAACATATCCTACTAGTGAAAGTTAATCGAGTCTTAAGAGAAAACAGGGGTATAGATGCGCCGGAGAGTTCAATGCCCTATGGAAAAGAAGCCAAACAGGAGCTGGTTAAGCTTATTCAGGGCAAGTGCTTGAGGGTTCTTATCTACGGGGAAGATCGTTATGGACGCTGTGTGGGCGACATATACAGCAATGGCACATTTGTACAGGTAATATATGGAAGCTAACTTTAATATAGCACCAACAAGTCTTGATATCCGTTTACAATCTCATCCAGGAAGTAATGCTCAAGAACGGGTGTGCATGGCATTACGCAGCCTACGACAAACGCCCAGAATTTGCAAGGGTGAGTAAAATCATACTTCAATTCTGTATCTTGATGAAGTGTAATTAATACAACGTAAAACAACATAATTTTAGCAAGAACTCATACAGAGCTACATTTGATTTTCACATGTTTCAACATTTGATTTTCACATGTTTCAATCATAACAGTGGGAAGAACAGGCTCGGGCGGAGCGAGTTGGGTTGTGGGCTTCATCAAACCCTGAGAAGCCATGGGATTGGAGAAAGGATAAGCGTCAAGGCAAATGACGAGCTATTGTAAGGAAATTGTTCAGAACATAAGATTATGTCTGTAACAGCAAGAAAATAGGGTTTATACAGGATGAAAAAGAGATGTATTAAAGAGGTGTCTGTCTCCGGACTGTACAAACATATACATCATTTGATTTGTACAATAAGATTACGCATATACTCATATATCTTTACTTTGTCATCGTCGCGACCAAATCCATATGTTTTAGGGAACTTTAACAAAAAGCTTTTGGTACTGTTCACTTTGACAAAAAACCACATTTTTACCCTAAATAGTCAATCCTGATACTATTCACTTTACCCTTTATTTTGTCTTTATCGTTAAAACTTAAAGTTTCAAGCTCTTTTCATTAGTTTTCTTTATCTTTTATTGTCCAAGTATAATCGTGAAAACTTCGTGATCTTTCTAAGTTCATGTCTTTTGCTTTCTTGCAATGAAATTTTTTTCATGTGTCATAGCAATTACAATAATACTGTCGGGTAGAGAGTATCTGGAGGCTTATCACTCACTTTCCTAACGAGGCATGAAGAACACATTCATGAATGTTTTCGTCATTCGTAGTAATGCCCCTAATCAAATGCACAATTAGGAATGGGCAACAGTTATAGTGGGCGGGTAATTGCGATTATTTATTCATAACCGTTTATATTTATACCCGCATAACCATTTACCTGTTGGGTAATTGTATAAACGGTTATATCCATACACATAACCGTTTATAAACAGTTAACCATACCCATAATTGTATACCCATTTAATCATAATCATTTACCCATTTAACTATAACCATAACCATTTACCCATTTAACCATAATCATTTACTCGTTTATCTGTTTTTGAACCCGCTTGTCCTTTTTTTACCCATTTACCCATTTTTTCATCCGTCTACATGTTTTTTTAACAACTTGAAAATTACACAAGAAAATTTTGTCATAATTTCATTTTCTGACAATTAAACAAGGAAAATTACACAGCTATAGATACATTTTATCATGCATTTCCCTATTTTAATCATTTAAGACCTCATACAACTCCAATAATTGAAATAATAGTTTACGAACGATATTTTTCTATTACAACTAAGCAAGTCTTTAATTATAATAGCGAAGAAGGAGATATGTGCCCGTTTCTAAACACAGTTTTATGCAATAAGTAATTGATCCTAATCCCCCAATATATATATAAATTTATGCAGAACCCTAGCTATTTTGTATCTTCAACAGATGCAAACATAAGAACTGAAGAAAAACATATAAGAACTAAAGCAAGCACAAAAGAAACATACCTGAAGTCATAATTATCTTTTTCCCTGAGAGAAAGATCGAAGGTTGGGCGGTCGTTAATCACTTTGGAGGAGCTAATTATAGCAAGAATATTTATATACACAACTTCTCACATGTCAATGTTTTTAAAGGATTAATTACGGATATTTATTAATTTAATAGATGAGCGGCGGAGATGAGAGAGGGCAGCGAGGAGGGAGAGGTGAGTGGGAGACGGGGCGTTTGAGACACGAAGAGATTGAAAATTTAAGGTTTTTAATTTTTTTTTTTAAATTTTACACACATTAAATGGGTAAATGGATACATGTTATAATCGCAGGTAATACCCATAACCTATGAATACCGTTATAACTGCGGGTAATACTTATAACGGTCCATTTAAATTTCATCGATAAACGGTTATACTCATACCCATTTATTCGTCTAAACGGTTACCCATAACCATAACCGTGAACTTTAAATAAACGGGTACCCAAACCTATGAGTATTTTACCCATCCCTATTGACAACCCCCATCAAACCCCAAAAGCATATTACCTTCTTTGATTGATTGGTTTTATCGTTGATGGGAAGGACACTCCCCTCACCGACCCGATTCCAAGACTTGACCCGAAGCATTGTTGTCGACAATCTCGCCTAAAGCAATGTTTTATAATGTTGACATATAAATTTACGTTAAATAAGTATAATATTTTATAATATTTGTATTAAAATTAATGTTAAATTATAAGATAACAAAAGGTTATCAGCCGACTTTAAAAGTTTCATTAACGTTTATCTTTTCAACAATACTTGGCTGAGTCCTACACACAAATCTGCCTAAATATCTACTTCTTGTCACGTTTTATTTAGTCTAATCATGTTGGTATTAGTATTAAAATCCAAAAAGCTCCAAAGATTATTAAGCAAACACGTCTTTATTGAAATAGAAGAGTACCATAACACCACTACAGCCGCGTCTGGATATGACCAAAAGGACCTCGACCCCATGGTTACACCCAACACCAGCACCACACACAATCTAACTTAAAAGGAAAAAGCGAATAAGAGTACAGTAGGACTTCAGCTCATAACGAGCACTAGGCAGCCAATGAGGTTATGACACCTCAGCTCCCGCTTATTTAGTAGTACTAGACTCCACTGCACAGGACCGCAGGGGATTATGGCCTTTAGATTGCGAGGACCAGACCCGGCATGGACTTCCCGGCCCGATTGGAGATGCTGCTCTCCCAAACCGACGGGAAATGGAACGAGGTAATCTCGGCCGCCGACGACGACGCCTCGTAGGAAAACCCGGACGAGGATTTAGCGGAGGAGGCGGGAGAGTTTCTGTGGCTGTTGTTTCCCAGGCGCGTGACAGTGAGGGTAGTGTTGAAGTACTCGCGGACGCCGGTGACTACACCACTGGCAACGGTCCAGGCGTGGACCCAGGAAATGGAGCAGTCGCGGTCGCAGCCCTCGACGAGGACGGTGGGGCCGAAGGAGGCGATGGACTGGGGGACGAACTGAAACGATTCGTTTTGGGAGCCGGTGAGGAGTCGCATCAAGAACTGGTGGGTCGGCGGACCATGGAACCACCACTCGAGGTCGGGGGCGACGATCTTGAGCACCGTGTCGACGTCGCGGGAGCTCAGGGCGTCATAAAGGGCGAGCACCACCCTTCGATTGCTGGACTCAGTGTCTTCCAGAGCTTCCAGAGAGTTAGCCAGTTCTTGCCTAGGCCTCTGTGGCGGGTTTAGAGCGAGAAAGTAAGGGTTTTAGAGAGAGAAGGTGGAGGTTTTGGAAAGAGAGATGGAATTGTGAGGAAATGTGAAGTGGAGCGCTGCCCTTAATGCTGACGTTTGGAGAGAAATTACTTTGACCAAAATGGCCTTTTTCCCGCCAATTACGCGGACATGACAACGAAAATCCAACCTTACCGTAGGCCAACAGAATCCTCTCCGGATTTTTTTGTGAGGTTACGGGGATTTGTGAATTATGTTTGTTCATTGTATATTATGTAATTAATATTTGTTAAATATTGTATTTAATTTTAAATAAAAATATTTAAAATTATTTATAATCGCACGATATACGATAAACGATTAAAATTAACGGATTCCTGGATCCTTACAAAGAGAATCCAGCAAGGATCCGGGTTCAATCGCAGGGGATAAGGCTGGGGTATGAAAGACGTGGCGTGCTCTTATAGACTTGGTGGTGAGGAACAGCTGGCATGCGATGGAGTGGCCCTTAATTTTCAGGCACGCGCATCGCCAAGGAGAGAGGAAGGTGGCCTTTGGTCAATTGGAGCGCTGCCCTTAACGCTGACCTTTGGAGAGAAATTACTTTGACCAAAATGGCCTTTTTCCCGCCAATTACACGGACATGACAACGAAAATCAAACCTTATCGTAGGCCAACAGGATCCCCTCTGGATTCTGAGCATCTTGGCAACATGTCCGTTTATTATACATTATGAAGTCAGTTTTTGTTAAATACTGTTTATATTTGATTTTAAATAAAAATATAATTGTTATTAACATTTTAAAAATCTTATTTTACATTTAAATTTTTTATATTATGAAAGAAAACTACATTTTTTAGTAATGTAGAATAAGATTTTTAAAATACCAATAATACTTTTCAATAAAAATATTTAAAATAATTTCTCACCGCAAGATGTACGATGAACGAACAGTATTAACGGATTTTTGTATCCTCACGAAGAGGAACTTGGTTCTATCGCAAGGGATAAGGTAGGGGGTATGAATGACGTGGCGTGCTCTTATAGGCTTGGTGTTGAGGAACTGGCATGCGATGGAGTGACCCTTAGTTTTCAGGCACGCGTATCGCCAAGGGGAGACGAAGGTGAGGGAAGGAAGCAGTCGGCAGTCGGGCCAACTTTTCTTGACCATTTTCGCGCCACCTGTTTCTTCTCTTTCCGTTCGGGACCCACCTAGTTCCGTTACTCCGTTAATTTATCGGTGGCCGTAAAGTCTGTTTAATTTCTCTACGCTATTGGCTTCGTGGGTTATTAAATGTAAATTAATATATATATATATATATATATTTTTTTTTTAATAAAGTATATTATTACTCTAGTTTAAACTACCAAAAAAAGTTTGAACTTAGAACGCAAAACAATCCACCACTTGCAAAGTTTAGTTGAACTTGAAATGCTTCTAGGGTCATGGGTAGAAGCATGTTAGGTTTAAGTTTTGACACCTTCCAATATAACAAAAAAACAGCCCGTGAAACCAAACGGCTTTTAGATTAGTTGTCGGGGGTAATTTATCAAGTCTCGCACTCTTCTTTTTTTTTTTTTTTTTTTTTTTTTAGAGTTTTAACAAAACACTTTCGGTACTGTTCATTTTTAACAAAAAACCACATTTTTATCTTTAACTGGCATTATTCATTATACCTTTAAAAAGTGTTTTTCGTTAAAATTTTTTTTTACTTTTCGTTATTTATTTATTTATTTTATTTTTATTTATTTTTGAACTCAAACAGATTAAGGGCGGCTTCCAAGGGTATCTCACATTTTCAAAGGGTAACCCCAATTCTTCCATGATTTTTTTTTGAATTTGGGACCCATCTTGCCCCAAAGTGCATCCGTCTCCGGCTTGAACAGCTCCAAGTTTACCAAGGTCCATACATTTCCAATCATGCACTCTTTGAAAACAGCAGGTTCACAGTAAAGAAGTTGATGGGCAAATACAAGTGACGATGACTCATCGGCATGTCGCAAAGGATGCCATCAGAGAGTGGGATGCCACTGCAGGTAAATAGTTTGGAAGGCCACTGCGGGTAAAAGTGACAAAGACCGGCACTGGTTGTGCTATCAAGGAAAGTGGATTATGATATTTATATTCTTGTCAGTTGTCACTTTTCCCTGGTTAGCATCAAATTTGGGACATTCTCATTGAATAAGATGGTGCCTAAATACAGTGGGCCTGCTCCTTTACAAGAATATATGATCATCCAGCTAGTTATGTTACCCTACTCAAGTTTTTCTCTCGGAATTGTAATTAGCCAAGCAATGTTTCTTAACGAAAACATACTTTACTTCCCCTAAGCTATAGGATTAACCAAAATAACGCTTTCGGTACCGGCCTTCATGGCCACTTTTGGCAGCTCCAACACATAAAAGAGATAAAGTTCTCACTAGTACTAGTACACGCTATCAACTTGTGCAAATAGAATCAAGAGACAAAAAATACGAGAGGAGTACAGAACGAGAAAATGGAAGTGCGAGAAACTAACTTATCAGTCTCTTTACCTAACATTCGAACTTGGGACATCTTCCAACATTAGGAAGAAATGTACCACTTGGGACATCTTCCTACGATGGGCCGAAAGAGCAGAAGCTATTACTCGTTCACATTTACATGTTAACCCATCTTAACCTTTAAGATTACTTCTTGTAGTAACTGAAGCTATAATTCATCTAATTTCATTGCTAACCCAAGCCCCTGAAGGTGGAACCACCTGAACTCAATACCTCAAGAGCTAAAAAGCAAGCATCAGTTATGGTAATGGAAAAAGAAAGACGAGCTCTCAAGTTGATGAGGCTTTTACAAAACCATGTAAAAGTCATCAAAACCTCTAAGCAGCCCTACCATTTTCAGAAACTCGACGACAAACACAGTTAACTTGACAGGAGCTTAAATCAGATGTTTCTATCTCAATAGAATCAAAAGACAGTTACTGATTCAAACACAGGCAACTTAAGAGTTCTAAGTCAGATAAAATAATAGAAAGAGAGAAATAGGCAACTACATCTCAGAAAAGAAATATTGCTCAGTAGTAATAATAGAGTGGATAATTTCTTTAAGTGCTATTAAACTATCAATGATCACAATATAGCAAAAAGTGAAAAAGAAACCGAAGAACGAAAAACATTTATCGATTTGAACACAAAGAAAAGAAACTTGTTTCAGAATTATACTACAGAAATTCATACACAAATCGTAACGTTATCTTAGCTTTTGGGGCTATGTTTCTTCCCTTTGTATCAATGAAGGTGCAGGTGGGGTCATAGTTTCATCCTTACCTCTTACATGGGACTCTTCTTTCACTGCAGAAAGTGGCCTACCTGGACTATGAAATCCCTTTGGAAGTCCGCTTGGACTCGGAGAACCACCGATGCCATTCTTGGTTGGGCTTAAGGAGTTCCCCAGAGGAGAATTCGGACCAGATCTAAACTCAAGCGATCCATCTTCACGAGGCAAAGGTGAAATTAGTGGAAGGCCTTCACTTTCCTGTTGTTTTCTACAAAACTTTTCTTCCACAACGTCATAGGAATTCCCGGTCCTCACTTCCTGAGCAAGAGAGCACCAACAACAGCAAAGCCACAACGTGCAATCAGAGAGTGCTGGTTTACCAAAGCAGAAGTTATAAGAAGGCAAATTGAATCTCTTTCTCATTTGGATCCTCCAAAAGCCACCATAGAGCAAACCAAATAGACATAGAACTAGGCCAGTAACTCCAAGAGCCCCCCGAACAGTTTCATTGTCGATATTAACAGCAGCCAAGTTAAAAATCCAGAACGGAGCCATGCAAAACAGAATAAATGTCATAATATGAACATACATGTTCCCGAATCCAAGCCTCTCCATATTCCACCCGAACACACAAAAACTACAAAAGAGTGAAACATACGCTATAGAAATATCATCCCAAATGTCAAGTACTCCTCCGCTCCATTGTGGTTTACTCTCAACAACTCGTTGGTCAGTCCTAAATGCAAAAGAATATTTTCTCTCAAATGTTTTTGACCTTGATCTTTCTGCTCCTTCACCAGTGCCGATTGGAACATGTGCTTCCACATCCACTTCTGAATCATAATCCTTCCCAAGGGGGCTGACAATGTTGTATATACCAGCAAATGCAGGTGCACCAATAGCAAAAGATATACATATTGCAACTCCTATCGGTGGTCGTTGAGCTCTTCTGTAACCCAAGTTTAAACCACAAAGTGCATACTGACCAAAGCAATTCAGATGAAGCAGGGCAACAACAACCATCATGTGGGCCCATTCGTGGGGCTTATAAGTACCATTTTTACAGTAAACCTTTCGAAGTCTGGAAATGTCTTCTGGTTTCCATCTACAAAGAAGTACAAGGTGGTAGAATCGCTTCGGATGGTTGTACAAACACAAAAGAGTAAAAAGTGCATTGAGAATTTGATTATTGACTTCAAACCATGCATCTCTCTCGGACTTCTTGGGTATTGCCTTGTTCAACATTCCAGTCATGACAAGAAACAAAATTGCACCCGAAACAGCAACACAGACGATCCACGCAAAAAGAGCCATGTTCATTGGGTTTCTAATCCATTCTTTGCCCATTTTCACGAGTGAAACCCAATCAATTTTCTTAGAAAAAACCCCATGGATTCGTTCTTTAAAGCCATGGCCGCTTGAAGCCACAGATCGTGACATTTCATCTCTCTCCTCAGCCAACCGCTTGAACCTGGCAGATGCAGAACCAAATTTGAAGAAACTAACTCTATTAAGAGGAGCATCAGGAGGGAACCTTTTCGGAGACTTCTCATTGGTTAAAAAAGTCTTCCGGGATGCTGAAACCTCAAAGGGGGTTTGACCCTTCATTTCACTACCATTCGATTCTTCAATTTCCTCCTTGTGGTTTCCATTATCAGTCGAAACCATTCTCAAATCAAAGAACAATTTTCTTCCAATCGGTGTCAGAGACTCAAAGTTGTGAAATCAATGTCGCAATGCGCACTCTTTCTTCAACGTTTCCACTGAGGTGAAAATTTGAACACCAATCAATACATTGAATATGATTTCTAGTATACCTAACTAAAAGGCGTTATCGGAAAGAAGAGAAGCAAGGAATCCACAAGTTAAAAAAATAAACATTGAAACAGAAGACTTTCAATCCCAGGAAGCAACCCAAAATAACCAAAACCACTAACCAAGACTGAAATTTCACATACAGAATCAAACCCAACTCATAAAAACACAAAATATGATCAAAAGCCCATGATATTCAAAGAACAAGAGGCTGCCACAGTAAACCCTCATTAGCTATTAGCTAAGCATCAACATATTAATCAATACCCATGATTTTGCAAGGAAAAATGAATCATCATACTTCAAAAATCCAGAAACTGATTTAAAAAAACCCATATTTTCATCAAAACAGTGGTCAGATGTACAATTGAAAGGCACCCAGAAAGTTAAATTACACAGCTTAATTAAAAATAAAAATAAATTTATCGATGCCCAGAAAAACGAATCAAACCAACTTTATGCAAGTAAAAAGGCGGAGCTCACGACATACCCAAAAAATGGCGGAGAAACCAGAAGAAGCCATGACTGTAACTTTTCAAAGTTTTTCTTTTTCCCCTGAAGACTTGGTTCTTTTGTGAAGAATCAAAGACCCTCCGTTGAAACAGAAATAGGGGTTGCTCAACTTTCCAAAAACGACAAACTGCCAAAAGATTTTGCAAGTTACAAAAGGGTCAAACTTTGGAAAGCGGGTGGCGGAGACCGGTTCGGGGAGATAATCTGCAAAACGGCGACTGCCGCACGAATTGCTGGCCGAGGACCGCGTCGTTTGATGAAATTTCCCTCTGACGGAGGTCAAAGCTGAAAGCTTTGAAAAGTAGTACTACGGGGGCAAGTAATGCAATTAAATAAGATAATTAAAAACAAAGTTGTGTTTGCTCTGTGTATTCGCTCTGGAAGGTGGGAAATTATTGTGGCGCGTGGAAGAGTGTCATTGGATTAGAAGTTAGGAATATTTGTTTGTTGATATGTGTTCCCACTCAATCTGCTTTGCTTTTTAATAAAGAAATTTAACGAAAAGTTTCCAGTACTGTTTATTTTAACGAAAAATCATATTTTGACATTAAAAAGTTAAGCCTGATACTATTTATTTTACCCTTTATTTTGTCTTTATCATTAAAACTCAAAATTATTAAATTATTTTTATTAGTTTTCTTTTTTAATAAAGATCAGATGTGTGATCGATTATCCGTTGATTGAAATATAGAAATTCAAGAAAAAGGAGAAGATGGAAAAATCAAGTGGGAGACATTGGAGTCATATCTTTATAGGTAGAAGAACCATCAAGTTATCCAAAATGGAGGGATGTCAAGAAAAGTGGAATTTGAAGGGGTGGGACTCATCCATTGCTGAAATTTGACTCGGCGAAAATGACTGAGGACGCGGCTTTTACTTCAATACTTTGTCTTTGAGGTTTCGGGGAGAACAAAGACGTGAATTAGACTAGTTGATTAGAAAGACGCACTAATTTATGTGTTAAAATGGTTTAGAATTTCACTATTTGTCGGGAAATAATAAGGACAAGGTTTTGGGTCGAATCATATGCGAGGTAGGAAAAGCTCGTGTGCAAAAGGGCAAATAGATTATATTGCAAGTAATGCATACCCAATAGAAGAGGAAGACTTAGTTGCACTGTTGAGATACTACAGTGGCATTCTAGACTAATGATACAATCTAAAATACGACAGTAACATGTAGACAGCATAGAGAAGTCTCCCTCCCATCGGAGTCGTTTGTCATGTCATGAGTACAAATTGGACAGAAATCAAAATTCCAATTTGCACTATATTCTTTTTCTATACATTTGTTTAATCATGTTCGTTATTTTCGGTTGATTCCATTCAATCCAATAACCAAAAGGGTGAATAATATATATAAAGTTAAGGGTAAAAGACTGTTTACTACCTTCAAGTTTAGTGGTTTTCAACATTTAGTACATCAAGTTTTTTTGTCTCAGAGTCATACCTGTAAATTTTGGGACAGTCTCATACATCCGTTAGTCAAACTGTTAAGTCTTCAGTTAACTGTGACGTGGCGCCTATGTGGCCAATGATTGGGCGCCACATGGGTCGCCACGTGTGTCCACGTGTTTTTTTTTAAGAAAGGGGTTTCAGTTATAAAAAAAAAAAATTATTCCCGCCAAAAATTTTTTCCCAAACACATACACCTGACACTTTTTTCCTGCCAAAATTTTTTGAAAAAAAAAATCAAGCTTCCTAGGAAAAATAACACAACTTTCTATTCCAAATCTGCAAATTAAATTCCAAACAAACTTTGAATTCTAAATATGCAAATTCATCATTTAAACTACCAACAAAGTTGAATTCTCAACAACTTTCAATTCACAACAAAGTTCAACATACACCATCCAATTCACATTAATGGGTCAAGGTGTTCTTCCAAAAACACTAAAGATATGTCCAAAAAATTGTCCAAAACACTAATGGGTCAACTTTAACAACTAATTGAACTCTGTCCAAAACACTAAAGATCTATCGAAAAGTGTTTCAAAAAAAACTAAGGGCATATTCAAGTATAACAAAATGAACCCTTAAACAACCTAAAACATTAAAGCAGCATCATGGAACATTCCTCCTCCTTTTCTGACCTCTTGCAGTAGGCTTTGAAGTGGTTTGAGAGGCTTGAGTTGGCTGAGATGAAGGTTGTAGAGCTTCCTGAGTGCATGGCTGAGATGACTGAGAGGGTTGTGATGCCTTAGATGTTGAGGCCTAAGTAATTAACCCATATAACATTAGCACTGACAGATAGTACACTTCACAAATAACAAATTCGCTTAAGAAATGAAAAATCAACAAAAATATCAAATTTATACCTCATGTTTCTTGGTTTTTCTTCATTTTCTAGCAGCTGGAGGGGGATGAGTGGTAGGGCATCTGGCCTTGTTATGTCCCGAGGCCTTGCAAACACTACATTTCACACTTTTTTGCCCTCTCTTGCTTAACTTGAACTCATTTTCATCACCCTCCATATGTCTCATCTTTTATGGTCTCCCCGGCTGCCTTTTAAAAGTTGGAGGAAGAATGCATTTGTTTTCAGATGGCTCCCAAAATTTCATGCCTTGGACGGGTTGAATCAAGTTTTCGTAAGCTTCAAAGTACTTCTCCTTCTTGTACCAAGAGGAAACAAATTCCTCAGGCTGTCTCCTTGCATAATAAATGGCCGAGCAACCATGTATGCAAGGAAAGCCTGCCAAATCCCATCTTCTGCATGGGCAAGTGCACCCATTCAAATCCACCACAAATACATTGCCTCTGCCTTCATCCACTTCAAAATTTTCTCCTCCATACCATGTAGCTACAGTGTGTGAGCTTTTCAGTTTGTACTCCTCCAACTTCTTCTGGATTTTTGGGCAGATAGCTCATTTATCCTTCCTCATTGCATCTTTTCTCAACCATATCCTCTTCATCAATAAAACTCTTATAGTTTCCAACATGGTAATAATAGGCTTGTCCCTAGACCTTAGGATAAAAGAATTAAAGCTCTCACAGAGGTTGTTTAACAGAATGTCACACTGAGTGTGTGTCTCAAAGTGTGACCGACTTCAATGCAAGGTTGGTCTCTTCTCCAACCATTTATAAGCTTTTTCATTCAGCCTATTCACCTCAGCCATACTCTCCTTAAAATCATCGATGGTTGTTGCCTTGGCAGCATTCCACAAGACATATTTTAATCTTTTCCCTTTAAACACATCTGCTTTGTAGTTAGTGTATAAGTGCCTAACACAGAACCGATGATTACAATTAGGCAGCACCTTCTCAAAAGCTGGTATTAAACCCTTTTGTTTGTCAGAAATGAAAGTCCAAGCACGCTGGTTCACAATTCCCAAGTCAGCAGCTAGCAATTTCAGAAACCAAACCCAATTGTCCTTGTTCTTGAGCTCTACTATAGCATATGCAATAACCCAAGTTTGGTTATTTGCATCCATTCCCACTGCAGACAATAACTGGCCCTTGAACACTCCCTTCAAGTGACAACCATCCAACCCTACAAGCTTCCTACATCCATTCTTAAATCCATTTTTACAAGCCCCCAAACAAATATAAATCCTTTGAAATATCACATGAGCATCATCATAGGGCATCACCTTCATTTGAACTGTACTACCCGGGTTTGTCTTCCTAAGCTCATCACAGTACTCCCACAACTTTGTGTACTGATCCAAGTTACTCCCTTCAAGGATTTTCAAACACTGTGCTCTTACTCTATAGGCTATCTTGATGTCGATCTCAACCATTCTTTCCTCTTTCACTGTTTCCATAAATGTAGTGATAGGCATGCTTGGGTTGAGTTTGAACTTGTCCATATACCTCTTCACAAGCCATGCCACTTTGCAGTTAGGATTTTCCCTCCAAATCCTCGGACATTCATGTTTCCCAACATAGGTTTTCACTTGGATTGAATCTTCATTGTACATCCTGGAAGCATACAATCTCCATGGACAGTTTTTCTCACACCTTGCACTAATCTTCCATTTCTCATTCCTTTTTAGCTTAATAAAAGGTGCATCGTGCTTAATGGAGTGAGACCACACTGCCTCTCTCAATTGTGCAGCATCTCTGAACTTTAATCTCTTTTCAAACTTTGGAGCATCCATGTCGGCTTCTTCATTAAACTCAGGGTAGATGACTTTCTCGTCACATTCCTGAATCGTCAACACTGTGCAGGCCATCTGAGTCTTGTCTCTCATCATCAAGGGGAACGTCTTCTACATCCCTTGCATCAAGAACGTCTTCTGGATGTTGGTTCCCAACCCCTTTACCCCTTTCAGCAACCCTTTCACCCCTTTCAGCATCTCCAACGACACTTTCTGCAGTTGTATCATCTACCGCACGACGATCATCATCTTCCAAACTGTAGTCACTGTCCACAAACTCACTATCTGTAGTGTCATCCTCTGCATTTACTGCCACAAACAATGCATATTTGTTAAAAACCTAAACTTTGCAAAAATAATTGAAACCTGAAATTAAAATTGTAAAAATAAATGTTTCAAAAATTTTACCTTTATTAGCTTCTACTTCGGTCCCTTCATTAACTTCTTCAGCTTCGTGACCCTCTTCAGTTTCATCACATTCATCATCAGCATTGAGAGAACCATCTTCAGCCTCATCTCCACTTCCTTGTCCTCCCTCAGTTGCTTCAGCCTCATGTTCATCATCACCATTGTAGGCTATGTCATTCAAAAGACATAGCCGTTTTTCTAAGTCATCTGCACCCCATTTTGCTCTACCCTTCTTCAGTTTTGATCCACTTCCCTTTGTAATCGAAATTGCCACCCTCGATTCCTCAATATCTTCTATAATGACACCTTTTTTTAATATGGCACTCTCATATAGATTCATCAAAAGCTTATGTTTCAAGGCAGCTTCTTTCATACTTAGATGTTCTAGGTACATTTCTGTTTCCCTAACCCCTGGAACATACTTGCACATTTCACCCACATCTTAGTCCCGTTCAATAAGCCTTAATCCCTCACAATAAGACATCCCAGGAATCCTATAGTGATACAACATAAACCCATCATATCCTAACTCTTTAATCATTTCATCAATCTCGAAAAAAGACATGAAGTCTTTGTCTACGTAATCAAACCAAGCCTCAAACCCTCCCGTACATGCACTTTCAGACCACTTCCCACCGTGGTTAATTTTAAGGCTAAATAATTCGGGCATCCCTGCAAAGTCAAGGAGAAATGTGAAAACAACATAAAATCCTTGAGGCACATGGGGGAAAAGGTGAAAACACTAGTAGGACCACGAGGAAAAAAGGTGAAAACAAAACCATGAATATAGTTTCACCTTTTTTTCCTGAAACCATAGAAAAAAAAGTGAAAACAAAACCAATGGGGACCACGATTGAAGACAAACAATTGAAAAATTGAAAGCAAAACCATGGGGACCACGATTGAAGACAAAACCAATGGAACTCACAGATCCCTAATCCATAAAATTCAAAATTGAAAAATCGAAAAAGGTAGGTTACTTACGATAAAGTGGTGTTTCACCCACTTCGATCCTCCTTTTATCTCACCCCATCAGCAGCGATGGCTTCACAACAATCTTTCCTAGAAACGTGTGCGCAACGTACGACAGCGTGAGAGGTGGAGCGACGGCAACGTGGAGCGACGACGAGGTCGACTGACAGCCCGTGGGTAGGGTTTCGGACCGAGATGGGAGGTCGCGATTTTTCGGGGAGTGAATAGTGGTTTTACTTTTTACTTTTTCACTTTTTCACTTTTTCTGGGTGAGATGGGGGGTTGCGATTTTTTAATTTTGAGGTGGAGTGACGATGTGCGAGGTCGAGCGGACGGCGAGGTCGAGTGATGGCTCGTGGGTAGGGTTTCAAACAGAGATGGGGGGTCGCGATTTTCTGGGGAAGCACTTTTCACTTTTTCACTTTTCTAGGTAAGATGGGGGGTCACGATTTTCTGGGGAAGTGAAAAGTGATTTTTGATTTTTGAATTTTGAATATTTTTTTTTCATTGAAACCCCTCTCTTAAAAAAAAAAACATGTGGCGACCCATGTGGCGCCCAGTCATTGGCCACATGGGCACCACGTCACAGTTAACTGGAGACTTGACAGTTTGACTAACGGATGTATGAGACTGTCCCAAAATTTACACTTTAGGTATGACTTTGAGACAAAAAAAAACTTAATGTACTAAATATTGAAAACCACTAAACTTGAGGGTAGTAAACGGTCTTTTACCCTAAAGTTAAACCAAAAGATGCCCATGTAATGGACAGGTTGACACAAGGGTGTAAAGAGTAGTGCATCAATAGAACCCCATGCATTTTAGAAGCAAACCCAATTCATACAGTGGTTTGAATATACACACAAATTACAATCCAGCGGACTCACAAAGATCAATTAAAGTTGAAAACACAGTGATTAAATCCCAAATCAACTACAATTTAGTTCCAACACATTGTCAATGAAGTGCAACGGAACGATGTACGCGTAATATAAAAACCGAATCTTACAAATGGAGAAACCACACAAACATCATTTCATAATTTTTCAACTCAGGTAAGATCGTCCTCCTCGAGTTCCTTGGACTTCAGCTTTTCCTTCACTCTCAGCAGCAAGGTTGTCTTCCATGAATCCTACGTGGGAAATCCAACACGAGCATCAAAATATCGAATTTGAGTAGATATACCGATGGGAAAGAAAACACAGAGAATGCCATAGGTGTTTATTGAACTTGGACGCATAACATCGAATGGAAGAGACGTACCAGTGGGGTCATACTATCAAATTCCTTGACCACGTCAGTGAACTTCGCAATGTCTTCCTCATCAATTGAAGCGGCAATATCCTGCATAAAACACGACCACGACTTTCTCAAAATTACTACCTTGTTAAGTGCTGTTTTCATGTTTTTTAATCAATCAACATGAAACAACTAAACATCATTAAACTGAAAATACGTCCATTATAATAGTAACTCACCGCTAAGAACCTGTATTCCCTTGTTCCTGAAAAAGTAGGATCTAATTCCTGCAAAGGTACAAAAAAGTAAGTAATTTTTCCAACTGATAAGGTATGCAATATCAGAATCCTAAACAAGAGCCAAACTCAGACCTGATATCGCTCTAATGCATTGGTGATTGCAACAACATCTCCTTTGCAAAGTTGGCAGATTCCAGCATTAAGAAGATGCCCCTTAACTCCATACTTAAGCAAGTTGTTGTTCAGTGAGTGCCGTGCAATTTCTTCATAAATTTCAATAGACTTGGGGTACCTGCAGAATATAACATATTTGTCGGTTATTTACCAGCATTTGTATCAATGAGAAGTTATAAAGAGGTGTTAGTTAAGCAAAAAAAGCGTTTCAAGCTTTCTGCTATTACCTTCTCCGTGATTTGGAGTAGGTTATAGCTTTGTATCGAGTATGGGAACCGAGATAGAACAAAAGAGTATGATTACTCGTTATAAACTAGAAGGTTCTAATTAAAAAAAAGAAAAAGTAAAGCCGTAAAAGCAAAGAATGTACACAAGATGTTTGTGTTATCAAAAGTATGAGAATCCCTTTTAAACTAGACCAGGTTTTAAATAAAAAGAAATCCCCAAGTAATGCAGGAAAGTGGCGAGAATACACAATGTTTTTGCTATTAAATGGTGGGGAGAGACTTACTGCTCAATCTGCGCAGCAAACTGAGCAACTTTCTGCTTGCACTGGTTGGCCGATGTTGTTACTTCTTCATTTTGGAAGAAATCAGCTGCCCTTTCAAAGAACTCCATAGCCTTCTTAATATCTTGTTCAGATTCATATAGTTCAGCAATTTCCTGCATGGAAAATATGTATCCCATGTCAAATAATGACTCCTATGGTTTCCATAGCATCATATACTATGGTTGCATTCAGCAAGAAAAGCATCAATGCCAAGAGTACAAAGATGAATGCTTGAATTAATTATTGTCATCACCCCTGCCCTTCTCCCCTTCTCCCTGTATATGGGGTTAGACATGAATTCTCACCTTCCATTATTTTACTATTACATACTCTTATCTCCTATCAAATTAATATTTTGGATCTGTTCGCAACTGATCCTATGTTAGTCTTTGACAGCTTCTTTGATCTTCTACCTTCTATGTTAACTAAGCCTCTTTGGTTATGGGTGAACTTACACGGCTACAATGTACATGTCTTTACTGTTTCTCTTATCTGCATATTATTACAAACAATGGTAGAATGACGAAGGGAACGGCATATTGAGAACTTACAAATGGGACACCAAATTAATTGCAAGAAGAAATTTAAAATATCATCTTTAAACAAAAGATTGATTCTTATATAGCTGGAAAAACAATACCTTATAGTATCTTGCAGCCATATTAAGCCTTCCAATATCACACAGCATATTTACCGCCTGCTCTAAGCAAGCAATAGCTTCTGCAGGAGACCAGAATGAAGTTACAGATTACAATTAAAATTATCCTAATCAGAAATGCACACAATGTATCAAGAACGACATAAATGGGAATGAAATGCTAGTAGAAATGGGGTTATACCGTAACTGGACCAAAAAAATATTCATGCCACAAAATTACTACTACCATATTACAATAAGATAAACCAAGGTAAAAGTAGTAACACTACCAGCCGTTGTACCCAAGTTGCTTAGTTTGATTTAAACTGTTTGCCTAACAAAGGTATTTCTTCCAAAAGATTTGCTACTTATGGTGCACTAATATAACAAGTTCAGTATTGCTAACGTAAAAAAACTTGACTTTATGTGATGTATCCAAAATGAGATTCCAGACTGAAGCTCTCTCTGTGATCCATCTCTTTTGCGGAAATGAAAGACAAAGCAAACAGTTTGGCTGATTCTCTTCATTTCCCAGATGATTATTTCACCTTCCAGGACTTTGTGGGCAGTGAGGAAGCATATATGTAAGATGCAACATAATACATATACATACCGTTCACATTTGTTTTCTTGTAGCAATGTGCAGCATCAACATAAGCTGTGGCGGCTTCATGTTTGCTTTCATTCTATAATGGAAAAACATTGCCATCAGGTTTTGTTAAAAACATTAAAAATGAAAGAAATTGCCTAGTCGAAACACCAAAACCACTAACCTTCAAATGACAGTTGGCCAACTTGACATACGTTGCTCCAGCTTTGTCCCCTGAAACACCATTTTGTAAAGATTAGAAGCAATTGAAGTGGTCACTGACAAGATCTAGTTTCAAGCAACTCAAAAATACTGTAAATTTTGTCTTTCAAATAGCCACCACAGAAACAAAACAATTTGAGATTTGTCTGTGAGAGAACGAGGCATCAGTTCCATCATATTGATATTACAACAAATACATGTGAACCGTACGGTTTTCCATGCCTATCAATTGGAAGGATCCATATCCCAATTTCACACTTTTCATAAAATTGCAAAAAGAAAACGCCGATACTAAGTTAGAACTAGTCGTAAACTGAACACCATATGCAGATTTATATCTATCTTCTCTTTAGGAAATATGCTTGCAGCTACTAAAATTTAAAACATTTAAACAACCCAATCCAACTTTCAAACAGTAAATCCAAAACAAAATCCAACACGGCTTACACCAATAAGCCTATTCATCTGAGCGCTACTCCATTCATTGTTCATATCATTCAATTCAAGACTTCCAATTCAAACAAAGTTCAATCCTTTCCAGCAAAAGGAGATCAAGCAAACCCTAAAATTCAATATTTAACAGAATTTTTCACCAGATCGAAGAATTCGAAAACTTCCACTACATAAAAAATAAAAAAATAAAAATAACTGTAAAAAAAAAGGGAAAATCCACATTCATCGATCAAGGCCATTGATTGTGATCAAACCCATGATTGAATCAATGCGATACCAAAGACATCAAAACCCCCAATAAGAGATCCCCAATTATTAATTTCTTCATTTTCGTTCCAATCAAATTTTCTCGGGAAACAAACACACCAATAAACCCAATGAAAAAAAAAATCAAACGATCGAAGGAACGCAGAAAGGGTAAAACTCACAGGATTTGGCAAGCTTGTAGGAATTGGCAGATTTGTCGAAGAGCTCGGCGGCGTCTTCATGTTTGGACCCGAAAAATCCCCAGCTGTTCAGTTTCTTCTCCGCTTTCTTCTCGAATTCCTCCGCCCTAGCTAATTGATCGCCCATTTTTTTTCAATATATTTTTTTCCGAGTTTTTCTGAGCTCTGGAGATGGAGGCTTAGAGGGAAAGGTAAAACAGAAGTCGCGGTGGGAAATAATCTTTGTCAAAGAAAGTTCTAGAAGGTTTCTTTCAGGGACGGAAGACGAAAGGTTGGTCGCGCTTGTCATTTTGGACGATTATTCGTCTTCTTATATTTTCGCTCAAAAATGATAATAATTGTAACGTGCTATAAATAGATAAAAGTTAGTGAAATAACTTTTGTTAAAGATAGGAACAAAGTGGATGCAAAATATCACATTATAATTTTAATAGTTATAACATAATAGATGACAGATAAAGAGAGGGAGGGAGATATACTGATATTATTTATTTGATTCTTTCTTCTTGGAGTGTGTTTTGATCATCGTATAAAATATCAATAATATCGGAAATATCGGTAGTCCAAAAATATGGAAATTTCGATGGAAATATCGGGATATTATCGATATCGATAAAAATTTAATAAAAACCACGGGAATTGTAAGAAAAACTTGGAAATTTTTATTGAAACTTTGGATAATGTTTATTTAGTCAATTATCTATTAGTTTATCAAAAAAAAAAATAGAAAGAAATGCATTACATGATGGATTTAACTTATTTAAGTTGATTATACAGCACTGTGAGTGTAGAAAATATGTAGTAATTAATGAAAAAAAAATTAAACACATCATAATCATTTATATATAATGATTTACTACAATATTTTACACTTTATACATTGCATGGTAAGATACACGAGTTATTTAGTATCACATATAGTTCCTATGAGGTTCAAAATTTTCACTATTTTCATCATCTTTATGTGCAGAGTAAGTTTATTGTGAAAAGTATTCATCAAATGATAAATCCCCAAAATAGTTTTGCATATAATTGTTAACATGACCCTCGTATAAATATAAATATTTTAGTATATTATCACTAAAACATTAGTGATATACGGTGGTTACGTTGTTGGAGGAGTAAAATAGGAGGAGTTTATCGATATTTCAGACTATGGTTTTGATAACACACGGATCACTCTATTTATAGAGCTATTTCCATGAGAACATACAAAGATGATATGATGACTACTTTTGATAATATTACATAACAACAAATGTATCACTATCATTTTCACCTTTGTTCAAATGCATGTGAGATGTGCGCATACTAATGTATATGGGATGTGGGCATATGCCGTATAACTTTTATAACATAAGGGAAATTTTATTTGAATCATTCAACCTCTTTCTACACCCAATACAAAAAATATTTTCTTGAAATTCCTATTTCACCCTTTGATTAATACTGGAAAATGAAATAAACAAAACTGAAATCTCTTTCCACATCCAGTAGTTCTCTTCCACCTTAAACCCCACGGAAGATTCACCGGCGATTCTCCATGATAACTTCAATTCATTCTTTTAGCATCACAACTGCATTATATGGCACACCATTCAGTTTTTCACAAGTTTTGACTTCGAATAGTCCATACAAGATATATGATCCTTTTTCGGCTTAACGCCTTCCTTGTCGACGACTCCGCCATCCTTTCTTAGCCATAGACATTTGTGGTTCTCTCCATTACCAGCTCTGTACCACTCAAAAACTTGTAACTAGAGAGGAAGTTCTACACCTGAGTTTTCTCAATCTGCTTATCCTCTGCATTATCAAGCAATGTGCTTTGGCTTCTTCCTCTTGATCTTCACGTCTCTGACTGTTGAATGAGTTGTGGCAAGCGTAACTTTAAGTAGTTGAACGGCAGTATAAGCACAACACTTGTGAATGTACGCCTTTTGGTCTTCATTTGTACGGACTTGACGACGTATGCCAAATGCCTTAACATAGAAGTTGCAAGAAGTAGCTCATTCTCAACCAAGGACTACCACGACACACCACCTGTGCAAGCTTCAATCGAAGCGGTCCTAGGCATGTTTTCCAGCGAAGGGAGGGGGCGGCCGCCACTCCTCGCCTTCATGTAGCTTCGACTATGCTTGTAGGCCTTTGATGTCAACGTTATGATTGAAGAGCGTGAGAAATAGAGGATGGAGAAGGAAAAATGATGAGGGAGATGATCGAAAGATAAGGTGGTTAAGAGACGCCGGCGACAAGAGATTCACTCCGACATCAGTGAAGAAGACGCCGAAAAGTGGTGGGCAGATATGTGGTTCATGTGCTTTTAATTTATTTTTACTTTTTAAATAACGTCGGGGCAAAATGGAGAGTTTAATGGCAAAAATATTTAAGTTGGGTTTGAAGATAAGATAGTTGGGTTTAAATAAAATTTTCCTAATTGTAATGTTAAACCCCTTCCTTCATTTTTTTATTTTTATTTTTTCAAGTATATCCATATTTTTACACTAAGATGATAGGAAATTCGATTAAGCCACACAATAAGTAATTTAATTTGGTATCGAATTCATCATCCATGAAATTCGAACTAATAATTTGGTATCGAATTCACCATCCACGAGATTGGAACTAAGACCTCTCACTTTCAAGTGAAAAGGAATACCACCAAACCGTAGTATTGACATTGAGACTCCTCTTTAACGTAGATAATATCGTTTATTCATAAAAAATATTATAATAATTACTCATTTTAAATATTTAACAATAAAATTCCTAAAATGATTTAAAAAAAAATGAACCATGGCCCAAATGTGAATAGTGGAGGCCCAATCTCAAAAAGTTTTGTTATTGGGTAGATATTTGGGGCCATCAACTACTTGGAGATCCCTAGATAAAGTTAACCCAACACCCCAAAATTGCTCATGTTCTTTCTGCAAGAACCAAGAAATGGAGGGATTTGACGGCGGTAGCTGGGATTATTGACATCGAAGTGACCCCGAAGAACGCTGTTGTTGAGCAGATGCGCCTCCCTCAGGTCCTTTGCATTGACTAAATTAAACAAGTGAGAATTTCTGCAGAAGTTTTACATACAACAGATTAAGGAATTTAAAACAAGGGTTTTAATCTTCTCCATCGTTTTCTTTCGTATTGATTTCGAGATTGGTAAAAAGTTCAAATTCAGAGTTGAGTTTCTTGCATCTCACAGGTTTTAGCTTCTGCTCTTTCCGATAATTTTACAAGTCCCATAAAACCACGGCTGGGAAACATCGTCGGAGTTATCAAACCATCTGGGTCCCGAGCCGATTCCGGTAAGGTATTCGGTCGGGGGAGTTCCGAGTTCAGGCGGTCCGACCCAATCCTTCTATCCGGTTCAAGCGGTTCCCGACCGGGTCTAGCAGGTCCAACCCGGTTCCTTTGCGCTGGAGCTGTTGAATAATACCTTACCAACAGGTACTAATCTTGTTTTGCGCCTTTTTCGCTTTCGTAGCAATGGTTGTAGTATCGAAGGACAAAAAATTGGCATACGCAAGTCAGTAACTTCTGTCAAATATTTATAGATCGAAGTGGCCCTCAACCAACAGCCAAGAACACTAGAAATTCCCCGATGTAATCGAAACACGAGGTGGTACATTACTTATTATTTTACCATTAAAAATGATATTTTTACTTAATTTTCTAGAATGATACATGTCGTACCGTCACTATTTCCTTCCCACTAAAAATCTCTCAAGACTAGAGTTGTCAACTATATATTCCACGTCCAAAACATCACCTCCCCAAATACCAAAAATGGTGAAACAAGAAGACACCAATGGAGGAGCTCAAGTCCTTGCCCTTCCACTCTTACAGGACTCCAAGTCCTTGGAAGCTCAATGTTCATCACAACAAGGGGCCTCATTTTCCGGGGCTGTCTTCAACATATCGACCACAATGATTGGTGCCGGTATCATGTCGATTCCGGCAACCACCAAGGTCCTCGGCGTAATTCCTGGCTTGGTTCTGATTCTGTTGGTCGCTTTCTTTGTGGAAGTCACGGTGGAGTTCCTGCTCAGGTACACCAACTCCGGTGAGTCTGAAACGTATGCCGGCATGGTGGGGGAGTCTTTTGGGGCGTGGGGTTCCGTGGCTGTGCAGATTTGTGTCATTGTCACCAACCTTGGTTGCCTCATCATTTATTTCATCATCATCGGTAAGTAAAGCTTTCTTCGCTACCTTTGCGTTATCCCTAAGTAAGGAATTTGAAAAGTTTTTTGGGAACTTTAACGAAAATCTCTCTGTTTATTTTAACGAAAAATCATATTTTTACACTACAAAATCAATTATGATACTATTCATTTTACCCTTTATTTTGTCATTATCGTTAAAACTCAAAGTTTTCAAACTATTTTCATTAGTTTTCCAAAGTATTTTTGGATTTGATGGAATCACGTGAGTTGCATCGATAACATGTTAGCACATTTTTATTAACGATATTCACATGGATAAATTGTCAAGTTTTACATGTTCTTGATGAGACGATCATATCTGACATTCTAAAAGATGCCAAAGCACAATGTAACAAATATATTTATGTACGTTGTCAATGGCGTATCATTAGTCCGTTGTTTAATAAAGAACGGACTTCCGTTCCATAGAAGTATTGTCATCCAAATTGTTGATAAGATAAAATGAAAAATACGCATAAAAATCTCCCCTTTAGTTTTGGGTTTGAGTTTTAGAATAAAACAACAAGAACAACTGGGCCATGCTGTATAATAATGGAGGTTTGGTGTCTGATAGGGACATGCAATTATCCCATACTCCCATATCTTTTGGACAATTAATATGCAACTGTAATGCTAAAGTAGCGGTATTTCAAATCAATTACGCTAGATCATGTGATCAAGTTAAAACACATGACGACACTTAACGGATAAAGTCACACAGTAAATTAGTCTATGTAATTAATGTGTCGTATAATGTTGCAATACTGAACACATTAATGTAAGAGAGTTTCTTGCTTTGGTTTTAGGGGATGTGCTGTGCGGGAGTCAGTCTGGAGGAACCTTGCATTTGGGCGTTCTACAAGAATGGTTTGGCATCCACTGGTGGAATTCTCGCGCTTGGGTGCTTCTCTTCGTTGCAGTCTTCGTGATGCTTCCGTTAGTCTTGTTACGCCGAGTAGGTCAGTATACCTCGATTAAAGCGCTGATGCTGAACGGTAAATGTTAAATCAGGTTACTCTAGTTTTTTCATTACTTGTTGCCTAATGACAGATTCACTAAGGCACACTTCAGCGGTATCCATTCTGCTAGCAGTGGTTTTTGTTGTCATATGTTCTGCAATGGCAATTTACGCGTTGTGCAAAGGGAAGACTCAGAAGCCGAGGCTTTTTCCAGACTTTGCGAATCAAGTCTCAGTGTTTGATCTTTTCACCACCATCCCAGTTCTTGTGACAGGTTTCGGATTCCATGTCAACGGTGAGGGCACATGATTTTTGGTCTTATGCTTTCTAGGTACTATACAACTACATTTCTGATGGACAATGCTGTGTGCGCGAATGAATGCAGTTCATCCGATTAGAGCAGAGCTCAGTAAACCATCTGATATGAGATCCGCTACTCGGATTGCTCTCCTGATCAGTGTTGTCATATACTTTTCTATCGGATTCTTCGGATACCTACTCTTTGGTGACTCAATAATGGACGATATTCTAGTAAACTTCGATCAAACTTCTGGTTCCACAATCGGACAGATAATCAATGACGTTGTTCGACTTAGTTACGCAGTTCACCTCCTTTTCGTGTTTCCTATCATGAACTTTTCCTTGAGGGCCAACATAGATGAATTGCTCTTCCGAAATAGGCCTGTTTTAGCCCAAGACACCTCAAGATTTCTGCCCCTCACTCTTTTCCTGCTCTCCTTCACATACATTGTGGCAATAGCCATCCCAAACATTTGGTATTTCTTTCAGTTCATGGGATCCACCACCGTTGTTTTCCTCTCGTTTATATTCCCGGCCGCTCTCATCCTCAGGTACAAACTCCATCTTCCTTCTCCATCCCGCACGCATGCTTACTACTTTCTGTTGCGACTAATCTAGCTTGATTTTCGTTTCTAATTTCTCGACAGGGATGGACACGGTATATCAACGACAAGGGACAAGATCATCGCGATTTTCGTGATTGTTTTGGCCGTGGCGACGAGCTCAATTGCAATATCCACCACTTTGTATAATTCTGCTAAAGGTTAGCCATCTTATGAATTCGAACAACTAATTGGCAGATGAGGGGCATAGGTTCTTGCAAGCCACAAAAAATCTGCTTCACTGCAGAAACTATTGAATTCATCAAATTTGTATTTGTTGTAATTGTATTTGGTCATGAAAATCTGCAACAACTTTGATACATCAATGTGCAAAGAATATTCATACTTAACCAACTCATTTCATGGGGAAAAACTTCGGTCTGATCGTGGAAATATTCCGCTCTCTCTATCTCAATCACCACGTGATAAATGAAAGAAAGATATATATCCCGGTTACATGTAAGAATTTCCGGATATTTTAACTCCTTTGTGGATTTGTTTGGGACCATATGAACAAGAACATGCTGATGTGAAGGGGGCATGTGGATACATTTTTGTATATTATCTTACAAAATTATTTGTCTTATCTTTTTATCTTCCACGTCAGCTAAGAAAGAAAACAGAAAGAAAGCAAATACATCAAGAAAAGCATGTTCTTGAAACAAGCCTACTATTAGTGGCATGCATATCGTGCGTTGTTGCTACGAGCAAGCTACTATTAGTGACATTGGCGCCCTCCTCTGTTCGGAGAAATCTCATATTCGACTCATAAAGATGAAAAAAAAAATATATATATATTTGTAGTTAATGAGTTGGATTTTAAGTTGTTGATAATTATAGTTCATTGTGAATTAGTTAACGATCTATCGTAAAAGTATATTTGTAAATATCATAATGTTCGCCCAAGTTAGCATTTGAGAAGTTTCGAGACCCCCATCCTATACTCCAAACAAGTCATTGTTGTTGATCTAGCTAGTTAACAACACGTTAATTCAAATATCCGACTCTAAAAAGTGCATGTAGTGTTACAGTAATAAAATAGTGTTACAATGGTATAAGGAGAAAACTTTTATTTTTACTTGCCTTATACGTACCACGTTTATTAATTAGATCACCACATTAAGATCCAGATGTCGCATAGGTGGACCTTGAATGATGCCAATTAATATGAACAATCTGATGTGTTCAAACGGCGTCCACATGTTTCAAAAAATTATAGAAAGCGAGGGGTCCCCCCTAATCCACCAAACTCTCCATACCCCCACTTTCCTTTTTGTTTGTGGCATCTCGTATGCTTACCAATTTGCAAGATTTCACTTCATTCATGCTTGTCCTAAATCGATTATTATAGTCGTTGAATCACATAATAGTAGTTAGAGCGAGAGTAAAGTAGTTAGATGAGTCTTTTCAGTGTCCAAAATGTTGCAATACCATGACTTTGCAACTAGCTGATCATTTTTTTAAGAAAAAAAATTATGATAAAAAAATTCATGTTATAACACAGCCACGTAGTATAATTGATTCACTTATATTATAACATATAAATTACTTATTTAATATTATAACTTAAAGTATATGGCGTCCAACTATATTATTATATATGAATTGGTTATCTCACGTTTTTTAAATGTGTTATTTCTTTTGAGAGAACGTAGAAGAAAAGACGATAATTGTTCTGAATGTTACAAAACGAATACACACTCAATCACTTAAAGCTAGAAATTCTCTACATGCGTATTCAAATTGATGTGTTTCATGTGTGAAATATTCGTTCATCAACAAAAGTCGCATCGACCTTTTTCTCAAACAAGGAAAAGAAAAAAGAAGAAGAAACTGATTGACCCAAAATAATTGTTCTGTCACATCTAAGGTTTGGGCCGATCAACATGCAAATTATATAAGGAAAATTAAGGAAAATTAAGGAAAAATGTTTGAAAATTTTGAGTTTTAACGATAAGGATAAAATAAAGAGTAAAGTGAATAGTAACATGATTGACTTTTTAATGTAAAAATATGGTTTTTTGTTAAAGTGAACAGTACCAAGAGCTTTTCGTTAAAATTCCCAATTATATAAGATTAAAGCTTCACACTTGTTGAATTTTAAATCAAATTTGCCACTAGTAAGGCTAAAAATATGAGCAAAATAGCCATTAGATTTCATTTTGGGGTGTGATATCGACACACCATTTTTTACTTCTCCCACACCTTTTTAGTTTTCTGCCGTCGGATCGGATGAATTAAAGAAGATCAACGGATAGAAATCAACAAGGGTGTGTTAGAAGTAAAAAGGGATGTGTGAATAGCACACCCCTTCATTTTAGGCAAATTAATTAAAAGAAACGGAATAAGGTTGCTGACCACCTTCAAGTGATGATGATACTTGCCGCCTTTTTATTACAATTGGATAAGTTTAACTTTTGAGATACATACGGTGAATAGACACAAATCTTAAAATTTAAACTAATTTAATAATAATAAGTAGGGTGGTGAGCAAAAAATGCACCATGTGTTGGGAATGAATTCAAGGCTTGTATTCCACACATCACGGCTTGAGTTTGGTTTCTAGTGCTGTGATTTACACAATTGTAAACATGAGAGTTCAAATGATTTTGTGAGTATTTTCGGCCCCTATAAAGATAGACAGTGCAACGAAACCACATCCTTTTCAAACAAAATAAAAAACCTAATTGATTGGTTTAAAAATTTGCCAATAAGGACTCCTCCTCTAAACCATTGATTTAAAAACCCCCAAAATATTTTCACTAAACAAAATCAAGCACATAACCCACTTTTCCATCCAAATACAATTTCGTCAACTACCATGATACCCAATAATACAACTCTCCAAGCTGTCACTAAAGTAACCTAAAATTCCAATCCTACCCTCCGTTAAACATCCACAAATTAACCACACTCCATGCACATTAACGGCATTTTGGTAAATGAAACCGACCCCTTCAAGGAGCCATCACATATTTATATATACACACAAAGATATTAAAAGCTTTTCACGTACAAAAAGACAACATACCCCAAAACATACACTCACTCTTGCAAGAAAAACGAGCAGCCATCGGAATGTCGCCGGCAACCGGAGCTCACGTGCCACTTCTGTCGGACAGAAAGCCGGTGAGGCGGGGGTCAGTGTCCGGGGCGGTGTTCAACGTGTCCACGAGCATAATTGGAGCCGGAATTATGTCCATACCGGCAACTCTCAAGGTGCTCGGTGTGATACCGGCTTTTGTGCTTATTGTGATCATTGCTTTGCTGGCCGACGTCTCGGTGGAGTTCCTGATGAGGTTCACGCATTCCGGCGAATCCACGACGTATTCCGGCGTTATGAGGGAGTCTTTTGGGCAGGTGGGATCGGTTGCCGCACAAATATGTGTCATGATCACTAATCTTGGGTGCTTAATTATGTACCAGATAATAATTGGTAAGCTTCAATTTTCTTGGTTTTTAGGGCATTTTCTGTATCTAAATATAGCTTAACAAGAGTTTTTATTTTTTTTACTATTCTATATTCTAAACTACTCGCATTTATCGGGATGCGAAGAATTACTTGCATTTATCGGGATGCGAATCAAATTGGTTACTAGGATGGATACATTGTCCTGGTTCTGGTTAACTAACCTAATTCACGTATGCGAGCTGAGTAAGAATTAAAAGGATAATTTATTTTTGTTTGTTTTTCAGGGGATGTTCTATCTGGAAATGGGTCTGCAGGAGAAGGGCATTCAGGTGTTCTGCAAGAGTGGTTTGGAAGTCATTGGTGGAACTCCCGTGATATTGCCCTCCTATTCACACTTATTTTCATTTTCCTGCCATTGGTTTTGTTAAAGCGAGTAGGTCAGTAATCACTAAAGTACACAAACCCTTTTTTGTTAAATTTGTATAGAACTTTTACTGTGGTGTTCCTTTGTGGCCGAAAGGTCAGGGGTTTGAATTGTGGTAATAGGCTCTTTGCAAAGTAAAACTAAGGTTGCGTATGGTAGACGTTCTTTTCCCATCCTGGCAAAATAAAGGACCTTGTTGGCTTGGGATCGCCCTAACTTTTACTTGGTTGTCATGATAAATCTTTAACATTTTTGGGATTTTTTTTTGCAAATCTTCTAATATCTATTTGTCGATTTGCAGAATCTCTAAGGTTCAGTTCAGCCATATCAGTTCTTCTTGCAGTGGTTTTTGTTGGCATAAGTTCAGCCATGGCAATCTATGCAATCTTTGAAGGGAAAACCAACACCCCAAGATTGGTACCAAGCTTGGGCAAACAAACCTCCTTCTTTGACCTTTTCACTGCTGTCCCAGTCATTGTCACAGCCTTCACTTTTCACTTCAATGGTAAGGAATGTACAATTCAGGTAACAATTTACGATATGGAACAGATGACACAAAGGATAGAAGAGAATTCAAAGAATTATAGGGACGGAGTTGAGAATTTCCACAGGGGTAATTGTCACTAGATAGGGTTAACGTCCTAAAATTTAGCACTAAATACCTAATTTCCTAGACGTTTGCACTAGGTTGGAATGTGCCCAAGTCTAAGGACTTGTGCATGTCAAGCTGCTCTTCGATCCATTTTGCTATTTGTTCTACGTCAATTTACTATTGACATCTCAAACTTTCTGACCATTGCGTACTCTGATTGACATCATGAAGTGCACCCAATTGGGTTTGAGCTTGGGAAGCCGTCGGATATGATATCAGCGGTCAGGATCTCACTGGTGCTATGTGCAGCCATCTACTTCTCCATTGGACTGTTTGGGTACCTTTTGTTTGGGGATGCAATCATGGCTGACATACTTGTGAACTTTGACAGAAGCTCGGATTCAGCAATGGGGGCAGTGCTGAATGATGTGGTTCGATTAAGCTATGCCCTCCATCTGATGTTGGTTTTTCCTCTCTTGAACTTTTCTCTGAGGGTAAATTTGGATGAACTGCTTTTCCCCAAAAAGCCGCTTTTGGCCACAGATACTAGGAGATTTCTGCTTCTCACTCTTGGCCTGCTGGTTTTCTCTTACCTGGCTGCAATTGCCTTCCCAAACATTTGGTACGTTTTTCAGTTTTTGGGATCAACTTCTGCCGTCTGCCTTGCCTTCATTTTTCCGGGTGCAATTGTTCTAAGGTACTCTCTCTACTTTTCTTTTTATTAACAACTCTCTTTGGGACTCCTTTTGAAAGAGTTGAAAGAGCTTCTGGAGCTGTTTTTAAAGGACGCACGTGGAATTATAATAAAGATTTCAATGCGTTGCTTGTAAAAGCACTTCTAATAAAAAAGCTTACAAACAAGTTTTTACAGGTCATAAAAGCACTTTCTAGAGTTGCTTTCTAAGGAAGCACATGAAATTGATCAAGATT